CCGGCATGCTGTCCCTGTGAAGATGGGGTGCTGCCAGAGGAGTGCTGGGACAGGCTCCGCTTGTGCTGCTGCCCAGAGAAAGGAGAGGAGGAGATGCCGGAGACTGTCCGGCTCATGGAGATTGGGGATGCAGCAAAGACTCTGGAATAAAGAAAATAATATTGACGCATCTTAGTTTACAGAACTGTTGATAAAATTAATCATTATAAATGAGCTCTCAGTGTATTATGCAAAGATTTTCCCCTTTAAACCTGGGCATCTAAACTGTTCATGCAATAAAACATACAGTATATACAATGAACTCTAATCAATAATTACAATTAAAGGGGGTCTACGACTAACTTCTTCAAGCATTTATATTCATTACATCTTAATCCCATGTTTTTGTTATCAAAATGTTCAGAATATTCAGTGTATCACAGTAATGACAAATATACTGACAGTATAGCAAGGTGTCAGCAGACATTACGAAAACAGACGGTTTTCCTGAATGAGTAAAAGTTCCTTGTTGGACAGTTTACTCAAGCATGACCCTATTAATCCCGTACCTGGAATATCCAGAATTTGCAGTTCCTACCTTCAGGTCTCGTACTCGGGATACCCGAGGTAATGTGTTGACTCAAGAGGTACCTAATCTAAAATTTGCAGCTTGAAGTCTGGGTATGCCATATGTAGCAATGAAGGAATTTTTCAGTGAGAAATTAGTTTCACGCCAGCCCACAACTACATGTAGCCTGGATCAAAGTTGTTACCACGTCAAGCACAAGTCAAATCATACATCACATCATACGTACTGCCAAAGGGGATGATTGACAAGGAGAAAATGCTTACGCTGCAGCTCATTTGAATGGCTTGTGACTTGACTTGACACTGATGCATGCACTGACCTTTGCAACACTGGTCAAGGGCCCAATGTCACGGAGCCACAAAGTAAAAATCTATGTACTAAGCCAACATAAGATGGAAACCCCTCACAAAAGAATATATAGCACACAACTTCTGGGCTTGTTACCAGCTTCTGAGCAAATATAGCTCTGTTTAAATTACTTAAATGCGACTTGAAATTAAACCTAATTCTATGGGAAGTGGCGGCAGCCACAACCATATACACATGTGTAATTTCAAGCTGTAGCCAAGTAATTCAGCGGCGGCCTATTTTCTTTGCTTAGCAAATTTTAGTGCTTAGCAGCTCTGTGAAATGCCCCTTGATTACAGCTCTTGCCTCAAAACGCTTGTGCCCTTCCTTCATTTTGTATTGAAGACACAGAACACTAAGGCTGTGTCCGAAACGGGCTTCCAGAGCTACGGCTAGGTCTATTGCCTACGCTTCTCCTCGCATTTCTAATGGAGTGAAGACCTAGACCTAGCTCTAGACAGGAGATTCGGATGCAGCCTAAGAATATCCGCCAACCTTTCCAGCTGATCCAGCTTGGTCAGCAGCTTGTCGTTCTCTTTGGACAGGTGCTCGTGCTCCGTCATGGCCCTCTGCCTGACGTTGTGCAGGTCAGAGTTCTCCGATCGCAGCTTCTCGTTCTCCACCATGTACTCCTGCAGCATCTCATACAGGCTGCTGTCTGCAGCAGACTTGGGCGTGAACGCAGACAGCATGCTGCTGTACGAATATGGACAGTAGGGCAAACAGCAAACTGAAAAATGCAGTTTTCTCAAAGACAAAAGTATACAGAAAAAAGTCTGCTGTGTGGTACATCGCTTAATTGTTTCTTCTGTAAAAAGCAACCTTGATGGCATGCTTGCCTGAAAACTTTCATCGGACACATTGCACAGGCTGCACACCCCACAGGCATGCTCTGCAAGCTTCAATTTGAGGAATGTTTGAGTGACACTCCCTCATAAGCGTTCTTAGAAAATACTGAGATGATATGCTATCTGTTCAGCCACAGAAGGCATTTGTGTCTGGTTCTGACAAGCTCTGCAGCATGGAAATCAAGCTGAATCAGTGGTCCACGTCTGGCCACTTCAGTAAAATTTCAACCAATTCAAACTGGTTGGAATTGATTTCCATCAACATCCCTCGTCAACTTTGAGCAGCAATCCAGAGAAATTAGCTTTGAAATAAAGACCCTGACATGTGTGACTTATAGTATCCCCTGTGAAGAAAAGCACTGAAGCAAAAATTCCAATTCCATCACCTTTTACAGAATACTAATTGCCACAGAGCTAACTGTATCAACTCTGGTCGGTACATCATAGCTGTTATACAGAACTGTACATCATGCAACACCAGGATTTCACATGCCCGCAAACGGCAGGACCCATCCAACATACCTGTTGGTCTCCCGCCTCTTCAAATTCCTCTTGTCCTCCGTCTTCAGGGAGGTGTCCGACGTTCCTTTGCTCCGGTCGAAGTCACCAGGGATTGGAGTCCTGTCACCGGACGACAAGTCCTCAGAGAAGCTGGAGATGGACAGGCTCTCTTCAGTGTCGTTCCGCCTCACACTCGGTTTGACTGATTTGGGGAACTCCAGGCGCTGCCTTAGGTACAGGTTCTCGTTGCGCAGGAGTTTGACCTCTCGTTTGAGGCTCAGGATAAGCCTCTCTCTTGGATCCTGCCATACAAGAAGTTAACTTGTCAATTTAACATCTTTTTGGTGTATATTGGGCACAATTTTCAACAGCAAGGGATTTTGCATTCCTTTTAAACCTTCGACCTTTACCTTCCCTGATTTTTCAAAATTAACGAAGTTTGCCAAATTTGGGAACAAGTAGGAAGGCAGAACCCGGTCACTATATACACAGGTTGCTTTCTAGAGGACTTGAAGTTCATTGAGAATTGCAATGCAAGGCAAGTATCAGTCAATTTCTACACAGTGGTGGATTCTGGAAGAGTTTCAGAAGATTTCTTGCAAATATGCCTGGGCAGTCAGAGTTATGACGCAACTACTTCAAACCTGTCTCAGTAGGCATCAATCACGTTCGGTGAAAGTAACATCTCGGCATTTATGCTCCATTTATTCCTTAATTTTATGGTCAACTTGATTTATTGACTTTTTTTCTTCAAGGAAAATAATTAGCTGATACTTTTTTCATCATGATGGTTTATCTATGGGACTCTAGCCTTAAGCTTTTACTTACCATTCTGACAACGGGCTTGTTTTTAATTCTTTTGGCACGGTTGGCGTAGCGCAGAGTGCTTAACGATTCTGATAAGCAGTATGAGGAAGGTGTGATGCATGCAATCTGTAGTGAGGCAAACAAACACAAATTCTTTCATGAGCATTTTTGCACAAGCACACTTGTATTTGAAATTGACATCCAGCAGGTCCATGGTTTATCTCTCACTTGGAAGTGAACAATTTGAATACAAAGCTAGCGAACACCATCAAAACTTTTTGCTTTGTGTTTTTCTTTTCTGCGTATTCAATTTGTTCGCAACAAATATTCATTTGATTCGGAGATGATTTCTTCATTTTAATCCATGTTTTCTGGCACATCAACTGACAATGACTTAGGAATGTTACATACTACAATTCATAAAATTATGATAACCGATGTTAACATGAATGCAACTGTAGCTACATGCACAAGTACTCCATGGAAACTAGCTCCAGTATGTGCAGGGGACCGACTGCTCACTAGCTCCAGTATGTGCAGGGAACCGACTGCTCACTAGCTCCAGTATGTGCAGGGGACCGACTGCTCATTAGCTCCAGTATGTGCAGGGGACCGACTGCTCACTAGCTCCAGTATGTGCAGGGGACCGACTGCTCACTAAAGCTTCTTTTACTTGTGGAAACCGAACCAATCTTTTTTTGAAAAGCCATTTAGAAAGATAATGATGTGCACTTAACCCTCATCAATTACAGGTGCCTCCAAAACTACACAAATTGTAATACTCACAATCCCAGGAAAATTTGAGGCATGGGATCTAATGAAGGCAGGTCAGTCTGAGTATTGCAGGTATATGACTGAAAATGTTGACGGCTTACCTATAGGCAGGCCTGTAACAGAATATATGCAATAAAAGCTGGATGTAGTGCCTACTACCTACCATAAGCGTGACACCACTACCCCCTAAGCTGTCAGCAAGCAACTTGGTGAGTTTGCTGTCCCTGTATGGTATATGCCCCGACCTCTTCCTGTTATCGCTCAGTGACGATATACAGTTTCCTGAAAACAAGAAGAGAAAAGGTTTTCTGGCATTTGTAGGTTAAACTGCAGACAGCACTGTTTCATCACTTACATCAGCTTTAAGGAAAAGCACGCACCGTACACACAAAGCCTGCACTGTGGAGGGTGTGGAGTTTTTATTACTACTTTTCATTTGAATGTGCACAGAACTGAACAAAAGTCGCCTCCAAAGTAGCTGGCAAAGGGCATATGGCAGCAGATGTGTTAAAATGTCTCTACTTTATTGCATACTTTATGTACATGTATCTCTCTGTCACCACTGGGAGGAACAAGGGCACAGCACATTTTTTTCTGACTATGGGGGTTTGGTATTTTATACCATATCTACCGGTGTGTCTGTTTCGGGGTCCGAGTAATTTGCAACACCTGCCCACTGTACATGTATGTTGCATGCTCACGGGAATTTCCCCACGTGAGAAATCTTCACTGCTAATTTGCATGTGACCAGGCTGGATTGTGATGACCTTCACTCAATACCACCGTGTATGTGTACAGTACACGTGCCATTAAACTTGATGACATTGGTACAATAGTAGCTTGTCTTCAGGCCAAGACAGAGCATAGATTAGTACTCTTTCTTGCCACTTTTGAGTGCTAGTGCCTGATTTATTCGTGGACTCACATGTGTTAAAATGCCTCTACTTTATTGCATATACATGTACATGTACCGGTATCTCTCTGTCACCTCTGGGAGGAACAAATGCACAGCAATTTTTTTCCTACTACTGCTCTAGTTAGTATGACCTTCTCTTCTTTAATTGAAAAACACATTCATGGAAAGATGATTTTTAAAAACAAAGTTGAGAAAACAACTAGCAGACTGAACTTTACAAATGAGACGCAAGACGAACAAGCCCTCTTTAAGAAGTACATGTATTTTTGAACACCCCTTTTCTTCAGTGGTTGAGTCTATAGAAGTTTAGGCCAATAGTAGATCATGTCTTATTTCAGCTGAGGAGCAATGGAAGTACTTGCAGATTGATTGGCTCGCAATGTTAATCATGTATAATATGTCAGTTCACCACCTGTATTGCATGTCCAAGTTATTCTTTATAACTGGGGATCTGGAGCAAAACTTTATCTGAAGACATGAGCCCAAGGCATTGGTCACTTTTGTGAATGAATCTGTCACTGGACATGTTAAAGAAAAAACAGACCAGAGTGAGTTACTCACCAAGTGTCAACAGGCTCTTGTTGATGTTGGTAGTCTCGGTGAGTAGCTCGCCTGAATTCCCTAGTTCTTTGACCTTCTCACTGCCAGCCAGGTCCACAAAGCTCAGCCGGCCATGCTTGGTGATGTACAGACTTTCCTCCTCTGGATCCGGCTGAAAAAAATCACAAAACAGCGATCAATTCAAGTATTAGAATGAGAAGGAGTGAACTCTGGCCAAGCCTGAGTGGAACAAGGGTGAGATTGGGGGCTGGAGAGAAATCCACTAAACACCCTGAAGAGAGGTTGTAACAATGACAACCATAAAATACTGTGACTTTTCAGGCTTGTAATGGCTCTTGCCATTGTTAGGCTTGTTTTGTACAAGACGTGAAAATTAGCAACCTGAATGGACATTACGTATGAAAATTTGCATTTGTGAGTTAAGAATATGGAAGTCTAGAAAAATCCTCAAAAGCCCTTCCAGTGGTCCCCTACCACTTTCACCAATGTGAGACAACAGTTGCAAAATATCCCCAGTGTATTTGCTCTTAGATGAATCCCTCAACGTGTGTAAACATTCGTGCATTATCCTGACAATGACCCCCTTGTTGGACCCTGCTGCACTTTCAGCCGTAAGTCTGGACTTAACCTGTACACAATGTAATAAAAGTATGCTGCAGGTACCAGTATACTTGGTCTGTCCGGAGAGTCAGTCTTAAAAAGGTCTGCTTACAACATAATTAGTACAAATTTACATGAACATGCATACCTGTGCTCTGAGGATAAAATGGTGAAGTACCGTGAACATATAAATGTATGGCATGAAACTTAAAAAAAGTATTACATTGTCTGACTACAACACTACAAAGGTTTGGACCTGGAGGTGCATTATTTGTATTTCATAATTCTCATAATATTCCCAACAAGTATGCCTGCTGTGCAGGCCACCCACAGATTCAAACATCTCCAGTGTAATACACGTAATTCTAGCCTCTATACTCCATTGTGACCAGGCTTTACAAATGCTGGAAGCTTTGGCACACCACTAGCTGTCTGCAACTTATATTTGTCTGCATCAATCAGGCCTTGCCGTCAGTCAGGTAAACCATGGAGGAATAAGCAATAACAGACCTATAGTGCCAGTGTGATACATGACAGCTCCAAATTGCCACAGGCTACACTTCAGTCACTCTACAGCAAAAGTTTGGTTCCTCAAAATTCCCTTAAGCTGTTTGCTTCTACTAATTAACAATTTGCCTAGACAGTGGTGTAAGCACATTGTGTGCTTGATAACTCAGTTTGACAAGTTCTTTAGACTTGGTAACCCACATGTAATTGGACAAATGGAGTTCCTTTCAGACCTGTTTGCACATACCTGTATTATACATTGTATGTCCTGTCATAACAATTTCAGCCAGTACGCTGTGTGCATTCACTAACGTGTACTGAACGTATTTGAGCTGGGGACATTGGAGTCAAAAATGCAATACAAATACACAATTGAAGAATGAGTTGCAAGCCAACAACGTAATGTGATAGCATTACAATGCAATCCCCTCAGAGAATGGCTTCAGTTGCCGCATTGTGTACACGTATGTTTGGCAAACAGAAGTAGGCTGAGCATGGGTTGAGAGACTGACTATACATGTACGTACATCAAATACAGATTTCCTGTTTGAGAATGCCAGAAATTACATGTACTGGGAAGCTCTCATGCATGTAATAGGGCACAGACATTCTTATATGTGGTTAGTGGGGGCTCACACCTGCTGTGATAGCTACATGTAATAATTGCTGTGTGGCTTCATTATAAGCAAAGTGCCATATTGCAGAGCAGCCTGAAAGGACTGAACAATGTGAAGAGTATGAACAACGTTATGGATTATCAGTGACCGGGATTAGAAGCCATAATTTGTGAGGGTACCTGACTTGCTTTCAGGTGATAGTACCTATATGGATTCCTCTTCGGCCAACAGGTTATTGTGACTTGCCAACATGTGCGCATGCTCAGGTTTAAGGATGTGCACGCAAGTGTGGAGCCACCAAAGTGTATGTATGTATGTAACCCCATACACTGCCAGTTTATACAGATGAAATACGTCTTGAGCACAAATTCCTAAAGATATCAGATGTAATATAACTAATCCTGATCCCCCATTATTAAATCAAAATGTACATGTGTATATTGTACAATTGTACAATCATATCAGACACTGTCAGTTTCCCGGTACCCAGCATATGCCAACATATATTCCAGAGTTGCACAATGCACATATACATGAACGTGTATGCTTCCTCCCATATACAGATTTTTTTTCAAAGGGTACACGTGCGAAAAGAAACGCAGACATTTACACAGCTGGCAGTGCAACCATAAATGAACACAATTCCGTGAATATCCAACAAATTGAGTATATCGATCACCACTCACTGTCCGGGGTACATATCCTCAAGTCCTCAAGTCCATCACCACCAGCTCGCAGAAAAAAATACCAGAACCTAAATCGTTACATCTACACACGTATTACTGCAACGTTGCTCTCTTCTTTGTTGCAATGTCAATGGGAAGAGAACCCAACAACATTCCACAGAAATAAACAAACAGCCGTTTGATGTCAAGTCCAAGTACACATGTACACTGTTTCCAAGCCCAAGTGTCAAGCACGGTTCTCTCGGCTGTGTACTTTGTGCAGGCAAACACTGGGCCGTGGTTGAGTGCGCTGTACGTGCACGACTGTGGAAAGAGGTCACGCTCAACTTTGTTTGGCTCAAGCAAACTGGAGGAGGAGATCTCTAAATTGACTTGCGCAGGCATTTGCAAGTACGGGCCAATTAACAAGGGAATACATAGTAAATATGTGCTTGACCAGTCCTAAATATTCGGGTGTGACCAGCTAAGGATAATGGACATGACTATGTCAGCTTCCATTCTCCTATGGCAGTCTTGGTATATGTTTAAGACTGATCAAGCTTACAGTATAAAGACTCCCATTCATAATTGTCAGAAGTCGAAACGAGTTAAAGTTACAAATTTCTATTAATTATTTTGTTCACCAGTACAGTCAATTCACAATACTGCACCTCCAAGAGTTTGCAACCCGTTGACCACTCACAGTGTGCAAAATCTGTCAACCCTTTCCAGCTTTCCAAATGTGCATTTGGTCGCCAGACTTTGCGCACTGTGATTGGTCAACACGCTGCAAATTCTCGGAAACACACTATTGTGAAATGCCCGTATTTCACTTCAATTTTTTCAAAGACCCCTCTAACTACCATGTTGTGGTATTTGCCTCTGCAAGCAGGTATTCTATCAGTCATTTATGACCAGCCACATCATGGGCTCCTGGCCAACAGAAATGACTGAACTGTCTTAGGTACTAGTATTTATGAATGACGAATAAAATTTCAAGCACATCCAGTTTAAAAACTTTGGTAACTGTGCGGTGACTACATGAGACTGAAGACCAGACATTGTAATAATTGATCAATCTTTAGGAAAAAAGAAATAAATCATTCCAAAAACAGCACCTTTGAAGCCTTACGATTCAGTGAATTTGGAAAAGGAAAAAGCGTGAAAAATAAAACACAAGTTCAAACATGTTCATAGGGTGTGTGTATTTTTTCAATCAATCATATTTGCAACGAGAAATATTACTGGGATCTGGATTGGACGGCAAAACTCCCATATGCATCAACACAGAACCTTTCCAAAAAGTCAGATAACATGTACACGAACATGCACAATGGAAGAGTGAGATTCACTGCATACTTCAGGATTTTAAAGGGCCTGTATTATACATGTATATCTTGATAGCAGAAATGACAGTATTATCCAGGTACATGTATATGTACATGTCCATGTACATGGACAGGACATGTACCAGTAGGTAAGGCAGGAAAATAAGCTTACCAGTTACATGAACATGTACTTTGAGACTTTTTGTTTGTCTTGCTTCCTCCACTAATATTGTTTTCAGGCTGATTTAACTTAGACAGTTCAAGGAAAGTGTGACGGTGGTAATTTAGCCATAAAAATATTATTCACACTTTTTTGGCTTTATCATTTTTATGTGACAGCTCAAGATAAGACATTTCCAAGAGTTGACCTCCAAGTAAACATAAATCACAAGTAAATGCTGAACACACATATTCACCTGTTCAATGTCTAAATCCAACAGAGGAACTTAAAGATAAAAAGTTCATTGTTGAAATCAAAATTGTGGAACCCACCCATCATATATAATTTTGTAGATTCAATTCAGTGGGCTAAACAGCTTGATCTTTTTTCATGACTTTTAACAGACACCATAAATACTCGCTGACAGCAGTCCCAGATAACCACAGCAATACGAAGTGTGTCCCCACTTGGTCCAGGCCAACCAAAGTTCTCCCGCTATGCCTCTTGACGTTGACAATGACAAAGTCTGTCCAAACAATGCCAGGTGTACTGTTGCCATGCTACAACAATGTTATCAGTGCACTTACAAGAAAGACACGATAGGCTGGAAGATAACACGCTGTACCCTCAGCGTTAATTGTATCATTTAAGTGCATTTGGCAACACTTTAAGCCCGGTAATGTGAGTTTTGTGCAGTCAATTTTACAGAGCAAGTTAGCAAAGTTTGAATACCAACAATGAACATCTGTGATTCCTTTTCAACTATTTTAATTGTCCCTGTTCATATTTCCTCTTAGCTTTTTCGTTCAATTATCTCGAGACCAATCTCACTGTTTTGTCTATCAAGGTTGGGAATGCGTACCATTTGCGAGTGGAAAAAGCTAATACGCTCCAATTCAGATGGTGTATAACCCAAATTACCACACAGTTCTGAACCACATACATGTAGCTAATTTGCAACTGTCATGGAAGTATTTAGACATCATTATACTTACCATCTCACTATCAATCTGCAAAGATACGATCGTGTGGCTTCTACTGGAATATTCATTGATGTTATTTGTTGCTATTTGTCTCTGCCCCATCCCTGAAAAACCAATCAAGGAAGCAGCTAATACACACAGCCTTGAAACTCCTCGGCAAACATGGAACTTAGGAACCCAAAATAAAAAAGGCTCAATACATTTAACTTGTTACGTTTGTAACTCATATCAAATTTGTAGTATTTCATTTTGAACAGTGTTTACTAAAAATGAATATCTTCCAAAGTTTCCTTCAACAGATAAAAAATTACATCTGATGCTTCAAGGTTTTTCCATTCGAGAAATAGTTCAACAAGTGATTCTGCTGAATAGAGGCAGAGTTCCGATAGGGGGAATGATTTACAAAAACAGCGTGCAACTATGACTGTTTTCTTGTGGTATTATTAACAAATTGAAAAACAAGTGTACAATACACATAACACTGACAATAGAGTGAAGAAAATGTTTTTGAACTCTGACCCCATGGGCAATCAACGGACTGAGGAACAACTGTAAGTTACAAACAAGGGGGCAATGATGGACAAAATAAAGTGCACAAAATAAAGTGCAAAAAGATAAAATGTTGTTAGTTTTGAGATAAATATAGAGTTAAGGATGTTTTAAGAGGGATACTGTTCCTCAGACAATTCAAGAATCTAGAATCATGGTGCCAAATGAAAACAACTAAAACAAAGACTGTGTGGTTAACTGAAGGGCTGTTTAACATGCTGGATGTTGACTATGAGGCTTAAAAATTGCCTCTTGAAGGCAAAAGTTTAAAGCTGGGCAAAACCAATGCTGCCATTTCTTCCGACAATGCTTCGATCTTTTTGAAGCAGCTAAAATTATTTCTTTGACCACAGAAAGAAAACTATTTCTTTCATTGTGCACGTACCTTCTTCCAAAACACCTAACAGATCATCCAGGGTCTCACAATCCACAACAAATAGGTTCTCCACATAGAAACCTTTATCTTTGGACCACCGGACGGGCAAGGATTCCCTCCCTGGATTCAGCAAATCTTTCACCTGAAGAAAAAACATCTTTAAAGTTTGTTAATCTTAAAAGAAGTGGGGTTTTTGGACCAACTCGCAGCCGGATTCCGTCTGTTCCCCCGTCCCCTTCAGCTGCCAATTTCTCACTCAAACTTAGTATGCACGTAAGTTTCAATTCAACGAGGAGGGTTTCCATGTAATGGTCGTTTGAAGTTCATGGCTTCACGTGAGATTGACAAGCTGACCTGTCTCAGAAAAATGGGTCCTACGCCGGAACGGCATGTCCCACTTCCACAAAACAGACAACAAAATTACTTTCAAATGTTACGGGAAAAAAATCAAGGCTCGCACATGAACAAAATGCACTGGAACGATATTGGAGAAACTATTGAGGAGGGGGGCCCCAGCTCTTTAAAGATCAAGACAATGACCCTTTAAAAAAAACCTGTACTTCAACTTCCAAACTGTCCACTGCATTATGGAGCTGCTTGAAACCTGCCTGGATGTGTAAGTAAAAGCTAAAGATCAGGAAGACCTTTTCCATTGACCAGAGGGTTTCGGGTATTCCAGAGGAAGTTCAACAGCGAGAAATGCAACCTGCAAGACTCCTGAATGGTTATCACTTCATGAGCACTTATGTACATACTCTAAACCATGTTTATAAAGGTGAGTCATGTCTGAGTTCTGAGGTTTTCCAAGTGAAAATGTAATACGCAATTGCCAAATCCAGGACACCACAGCTACACGGGAATGGCAAGATGACAGAATGTTGGGGCCAAGAGGGGAGAGTTATCCCAAATACAGGGCCATCAATCTCCCACCTGCTCATTGTATATTTCCAAATAGGAGGCGCTGAGGGTGAAGGTGATGTTGGGGCCTGACCTCTGACCCAGGACATCAAAGAGATGAATGAAGGAGCGCTGGATCAGACCGTATTTGTCCTGTGGAGGCATAAGTGAGTCCTGTGGAGAACCACGAGAAAACTGGAAATGAGATATGGACAGATGCACATTCCAGAAAATGTACAAAATATGACTACATGTATATGTACATTCAAAGGCAAAAACAAGCCTTGCCCCGACAAAATTACTGCTTATATCTCTGGTTCAATTATAAGAGGTCCTCCACATGTATGACTTCTTCCTAGGTGACAACCTTACATTGTACAATACAGGGAAATGCTTTACGGATGGGGAAAATCATAATTTCATGTACTGCATATTAATCCTACGTGAAAACAAATAGTTTACAAATAATGATTGTTTACGACAGCAATGGTGAAAATATTTTCATGAGCTTTACAGGGATCCAACATTGCACCTGCAATGAAATAAAATTGTTCTTTTAATTTGACATACTTAGAGTATTCATTACAAATACACAAATCCAGAAATTTCAAGTGACCATGGAACAGAACATTCTAGTCACCCTGGAGTAAACCAGCCGGGCCCTGGAGCAAATACATGTATTTCAATGACATGTGATCAATGAACTACATGTACATGCACCAATCAGACCACTGAACTTCATTCAGGTTTTTACAACAGTCGCTGCTAGTTTAGCAGTCACCTGACTGATGGGCCCAGTTATCGTGTACGTCTTGCCCGATCCAGTCTGCCCATAGGCAAACGTGGTGCAGGAGTAGCCGTCCACAGCCATCTCTATCATCTGCTTGATGCCACATTTCTCCAGCACCTCTCGCTGGCTGGTGCGGCTGTTAAAGACGGAGTTGAATGTGAAGGTTTTACTCTTCTCTGTGCTGCCCAGCTGCAGTAGAAAGAAATCCAGTCAGGATTGTTGGATGCACAGAAATTGTTTTGACTATACGGTAATTTCCTTTCCAATGCCACATACACACAGTAGACCTCTGCTCCCCACGATCATTTTCATGCACTAGATCAGAGGGCACTTAGTAAATGCAGTGCTGAGTCAGAGATTTTAGCTTAATGTTCCCAACCTTTCTCTGTGGTACATGTAAATTCAAGATAAAACCTTGGGATATTCTACATGTAGGGAGTTGGGTAAAGTTTGTACAAGACTGAACAGGTTCAGGTTGTTTTGAAAGCTTGTATGTGCACATCACAGTGAAGTAAAAATAATTTCAAAACAGCGGTTAAGCAAAATATTTTGGGTGGCAGAGCATAAGAGCAGTCGGGAATAGCCCCCTCCTCTTTTTTTTCTTTGGAGATTCTTATGACTAAAAAAAAATCAACAACAACAAAAATCCCCATTTAACCCCCTAGACCCAACCCAAAGGGATACATTACTGCATGTAACGTCAGTCCACTTGACTCACTGTGATTGAGGATGAATTGTGCTGGATTTTGACGCAGTCCTTGTCCCCTCGTTTTATCTCTGCCTCACTGAGTGGTCGCACCCTGGAATTTATGGGTGTGAAAAAATGTACACAGACAAATCATGGGTACTACATCATCACATAGCTACAGTAAGCTGAACTACTACAGTACCAGGTATGCACGTCTTGGTGTGGTATGTGGTTTAGACATGCATCTAAAGGAAACAACTTGATCTAAAGGGAAAATATCAGACCAAGTTTGAAGGGCAACATGGGGGGGGGGATTACATGCAGAAGTGTTATTAAGTTAACAAGTCGTCATAAATACCTGGGACAGTTTTTCTATTCCTATTTGTCGAAACACATCATTTGATAATGCCCGCTGAGAAGTGATAATGCCTACTGCGTAAATCATGTGCTGCCACATGGATCCGAGACAGTTTAATCAGGGGGTATTTCCCAGTTTCCACACCACACTTGAGGAGAAGCAAATCTCATGAATATGTAGGACACCCTCAATGGTGCCCTGGATACCGCACAACTGGAAACATACTAGTGGTAATCCAGACTCCAGACAGGTTGAAAGACTCAGTAGGCTTTCTTATGAAAGTCATCAATAAAGCTGAACAACACCAGCTCACTGCTTTGTCCCTCAAGCTGCCTTTTAAAAGGACTCAAAGGTTGATAAGGCTTCCCGATGTACTACACAGAGCATAAAGCCCCTCACAAGAGTCCTGCACAACAACTGCAAAACAAACTTTGCCTCAGGTTTCTCATCAAGCAGTGGCAAGCACTGATTTTCCATTACTCATCTTACTGCATGAACTCATGAAGGCTATGGTTTAAGCTGCAATTTCACCCCTATCAGCACACGTACATTTGTCCCAAGCTACAATATTTATTTGTTTGAAGTTAAATGTAGTCAGAACTTTTATTTTCCTTTTTCAGAGGAGGTTTGGAACACATTCTCTCAACAAAAACAGAAACACACTTATTGTCCAAGTCTTTTGTAGCTGTTATGTAAAACTACAACTATTCATTTGTGACTATTTTTTCTCTTATATTCAGGACAAAATTCTGTAATGTGATTTGGGTAATTTCAGAAATCAGGGGCCCAAAACTGTAACATTTTTGTGTCTCTGTTACATCTGACCTTTGGTATTTGACATGGAAATATCACCGGAATTCATTTCAAACTATTACTATTTGTTTGACAGGTAATTTATATTAATTTTTCACTCTTGGAAATTATAAAATGTGTTATGAACTTACAAAATCATTTGTCAGGTGTGAGAGGGACACACACAAAAATGGACCCCTAATTTCTGGAATTACCCATTTGGATTTAAGAAGTACCAGTGCTTCATTGTCAATCAACACGTGTTGCACAAGGTGAATGCTAGGATCATTGAGCTCAGCTACGCAAACATGGATTAATGGAACATCACACAAATTAACAGTAAATATTGCAACATTCATGTAGGCCTACATGTACATACATGTATGGTTAAGAATCATAGACTGGTACCGGTATGCGTGCACAAGTTTGCATAATTTCAAATGCGAATGGAACATACGGAGAGAAAGCTGTGACCAAGTACCAAAACAACAGATGCTCCATTCTGCAATTCCAGGCAATTTCACTTTTTTCAACTGCTGGTTAGAAATGCTGTCCGTGTACCGTAACTTTTCACCGAAACTGTAACTGTTCAGGCTGTCCAAAACAATTGGCTGGGCTGAGCTGCACTGTTTACAAACAGAAGACACAAAACAATCTTTCCTTTTCTTTATCAGATGTACTGGTACATACATGTAGCAACTGGGAAGTTTCTGTGAACATGTCATTGTGCACAGCTTATCTTTCACAATGTACATGTACAGCCTCTAATCCTTCATCAAATATATTTATCTTGCAGGAAAACTACACCTTCAGAGCTTGACTTCGCATTATCAGGTGAAGCAATGCTGTATTTACTGATGCACTTTTGCTAAGTGTTCTGGTCAATATTACTTATTGACCAAAGACTACAGCAAACTGCATTCACTTACTAGCTGAACAAACAAATGAATCCTAAAGAAGCTAGACGTACATGTATGCTTCACGGAAGTCTCGTCTCTCTTTTTACACGAATTCTCAATGTACAAAAATGTGAAAGCTAACTGGAAGTTTGGACCAAATATGAAATTTTGGGGGTGCCTTTTCTTCTGTTTTGGGGTTTTTTTTTCAGGAGGCCAAAGTTGGGGAATTCCCTTTGCAACCTTTATGGAATTTCTGAGGGGTGAGGCTAAATTGTAGGGCTTTTACCATACTAAGTAGTGGAATAATTTCCACCACAATAAAAAAATTGTCTTTTTTTTGGGGGGGAAACATAGTCCACTGTGAATGCCAATGGGGAGAGTGGAGTTTGTTTCATGGCATTGCCCAGACCTTTAGACCAGGGACATGCATCTGCTCACGGTCAACAGTCCTGAAAACAGCACTGTGTTTAATCTCATCAACCAGTCCAAATTTGTTTGCTCTCTATTAATCATGAAGGCATCTATATTCAAATGAAGAATGAATTTATGTACATGTGCACATACACTGAAAGGTTTACAATTGTACTGTATGCATTTTTAATGACATTGAGTTGAACTTGTCAGGATAAAGTAAGATTTTTTAAACACTGTGTAGATCAAACGGTTTGAAATAACCACTAAAGGCTGAGCATTAAGCTAATCTACAAGATACATGTACACTACAATACTCAAATATGTACAAGCTTGCACACCAAACAGTTCATGGTAACAAGTACATGTACATGTACCTAAATTGAAGATTTAATTTGGAGTTGCTTTCTTTATGTATTAATGTTTATTTCCAACATCCCTTTTCTCTTTGCGCACATTTTTCCCACATGATATTTGGAGTTTTCACAAGTGTAAATAGAAAAGAAAGTGACATAAATAAAGTCCATTAGTGATTCAAAAAATAACACAGGACTATAAACAGAGTGGGCTTATGATGCTTTAGCCACTGCGTCCACCTGTTCCCCATCAAGCAGCATCACTGACCACCATCCTCCTATTGTCCGTCAGCCTATAAATATCCCCTTCGTTTCCCCTCCAATCCCACCTCCAGAGTCCCTCACAAAGAACCACAGTGGGCCATGCCCATTTGTCATTTGATTCTTCTCATTTCCGAATCACCTGTGGGCATATTATGCTTCCTCTTTCAGGACTGGTCCTGAACACTCTCTCTCGGTAAAGGGGATTGTGGTTAATTCACACTGCATCAAACGTTGTCACTTTTAATGCAGATTTGAAAGAGTGATGTAATGGATTCTTGATAAAAGAGTCCATCCATGAAGGTGGTAATGTACAGCATCTCTTGCTGACTTTTCAAACTCGCAGGAAGCTACAGCCTTTACACTTACATGTACACACACCCTCTTTGCTACAATCCCCCCACCACCCATTATACTGACACTTCACTTCAGTAACATATCAAAATGTCCGTGGCCAAGGATAGCTTCATCCACTTGAACTCTTTTCATACATCATATTCATTTTTAGGGTGAAATTTGATGGATAATCACAATTTGAGGGATAAAATACATCTCAAATTACAACAATGACCTGATGTAGGCCTACCTGTACATGTACATGTACAATCGTCACACATAGGACATTCACTACAAATGAATTCACAAAATCAAGGCAGTTCACACTTCCATGTACAATGATGTAATTAACAGCATCCAAACTTACAATACATGAAAGTTTACAATGTGACTTGTGACAACTTGAATTCTGGCTTGTGACCTCAGCAGTACAAAATTTCATTGTGAAAAAATAACACCACATTACTTCCATCTTGTTCAATCTGTGCTTCAACTTCACACTGCTGGTCATAGAAAGTTGACACAAGTTAATTTAAGTGCAAAGATCACTGTCCGAATTTTCCTACAATTGTTGCTTGTCTTCTACATTGTGCATGTACATAAACCAGCCAATACATTATTTCACCTGTCAATGTTGGCATAAAAACCAGCCCGACCTCCTTTGATCCCAGAGGGATAAACCTCTGCCCCAGGGCAATGAAAAGGTCCTGCTGACATAACCTCACACATGTCACATGTCAATGGGGACTATGTTGTCTGGTTGTGTACCAACACTTCATTCGCTAGAGCAACAAGCCATCTAAACTGATACAATTTCCATAGTTTCATTGGCCATGCACCAGTGCCTTTGACTTAACATGTCAAATGCTTATTAATACTCAACCTGCTGCAAAAGTAATGACAGATGCCCTGGTCAGTAAATGGGTAAATTTTCCCACTCAACCTTGCAATGAAATTGGAAGGAAAGCATACATGTAAACAATCAGCATGATGGAGTGCACCTCAGAGTGACCCTTGAAATGGATTTCGGCCAACACTGGGGATCCGAAAGGTCTCTTTGAAACAAACTCAAGTCTGGTGTCTGATTTATTTCCACAAAAAATATAATGTTTAGAGTTACTGTACTGTACAACAATTTCCATGCTAATTTTCAGTAAACACTGACCTACACTTGCTCAAACAAAGCATACCGGAACAATGTCTGTCATTTTACTCTCTGAAAGAATTAAATTTAAACTCACAGGTTTTCACTCACTTCTTGCCATCATTTGAGCCCTAATGGATTATTTCAGAGTAAAGTGTCACTATAAATAGAGGTTGTCCCACAGTGAGCTCAATAAATCTAAGAGGGGAGGAGTTGATTACAATGTGATATTTCATGAACAGTCTGTCAGGATCTGGAACTCACCTTGCAACAACATTCACTTGCTCCAAGCCTCCGTCTTCAAGGTCCCAGTCATCAGCCAAGGAATCCGGGGCTGAGTTCAGTCTATAAATAAAACGATCATTAATAACACAACTTATGGCAGAGTTGAATACCAATGCAAGACCTATATCTAATTACTACGGGTGCAATACAAACTGAAAATACATGTACTTGGACAGTGTCACTGTAAACAAGTATAACAGAGCACTCGAGAATGCTCACATAATGTCCATGGTCAGAGAGTAATTCTCTGGATTCAAAGACTATTTGGCTCACAGAGTTGTGCCTCCTGAGAAACTGACAGAATTTATAGAACAAATTGTCCTGCTTATTACTATATTAATTTTTGTAAAAATCACACTTTCAAAAAGGGCAAAACTCAAATTCCTCTAAATTATGTATTTGTACGCTATGAACTTGTGTTTACATTGATTTATTATGGAAGTTTCCATGATACACAAAAAATACAATTTCAGTTTTGTACAAAATGAATTTCAGTGTAGAATTTTGTTATACACTCCTAGTTTATTGTTTACCTGTACATTACTGCAGTGCTCACAGTCACACAAGCCTCACAAGGTCATATGGTACAGCCCAAGACCATGTGTAAAACAGAAGCCCGCTTTGTTGCTATGCAAACAACGCTTCCTTAGAAACTGGGAGCTATTGAAGTGGACAACCATATTTGCACTGAAATCAAATCTTATTGCTGGAGGCAAGCGACCCCTAAATTGGGAAATCAGGTGAAAAGAGCCCATTTTGGCATGAAATCTACCCTGCATGCACCAACAAGTCTTACACAGCCACGGAGGCTTAGGTGACTAGTACAGTATCTGTAGCAAAGAGATCATGGAGGTAGGCATGATTAGATGTACGGTATGATTTCTGTAAACTTCTTTTCAATGCCTTTTGCTTGAATCACTCTTTTGTCTTCAACCACGGCCTCCCAACTCAAGTGCAGAAGTTCATTTTCCACCTCTGCACAACAGACTTCTGAGCACACTTTCACAGGTGATAAAATGTGGAAACCAAACCCAGCAATTCAATATCAGTGCTATTCTGAATAGGTCAAGCAGGCCTTGAAATCTGTGATCAGTAACCATGGTTAGCAGGCCATGGGCAAGGTAGCTACTGTATCTACAAAAGGAATTCCACAGCAGGACAAAGTGGGGGTAAACTGTAATTCAATCCTTTCAATGAGATCAAAACTTTTGACTTATTGCAAGAATTCGAATACTACATGTACGTACATGTACATGCTTTTAAAACTCGAAAAGCTGTCAGTGTGTGTAAAAGTGGAGTAAAACATTCTGTAGCATGTACATGTAAGTTTATAATCCATAATTACTGCTAAGTTCAATTTTTTTTTTAATGGTAGGACAGCACTTAACCAGAAAGGTTTCATGTGCAATAAACTTGTTGCATTACCTTGCACAGTAGTGCACATTTTAAACAAATCACATGTGTACACTGGGAGTATTGGTCTGCTAGCATTTGAATCGTTGGAATTGTGGCATTTTTACAAATAGAACAGCATTTTCATTTCATTAAATTTTGATTTTTATAAACTTTGAGCAATCCCCAAAAGCAACATTGTAAGTAACGTGACCCAACCCTTAGTCAGACAGAGCCAGAATGCATGAATTGACATGAACAGATTTGCAAATGTCAGTATCAAGAGCCAATCAAAAAATACATTGATATACACTACTGCTATCTCACGAGACTCTGTAACTAGCAACAACAATGTGCTTGTATTAGGTCTGTGCTTGTATGATGTCATTTTGAAAACGTTATAACATTTTAATAATTGTTCAAAGCAAATTGAAACAGTTATCATGTGGCGGATGGCATTGATGTTCCAGCGTCACAAGGTCACTGGATTAGTTTTTGGTTGTGACCATGCATTTCCCTTATCTATTCCCTAACCAAAATGTCAAGTCTTACATGTATACATGTACATGTACTTTGTACTCTTCAAGGAAATGAAATTTCCATTTCGGAAAGGGCTCCACGTCAAACCAGCATGGTTTTTGAATTTCACAAAGGCCAACAAAGTCAACAGGGTCAGTGACAGTAATATTGCTGTTCCTCCCGGGTAGAAGAAGCCCCTTTTCTCACAAAAAAACCCAAATAGAAAGTGTCCTTTTGAGGCCTGTTGGTGTGTACATGTATGACGCTCAAATATAATGGAGGATACTCAGTTCTTTCTTATTTTTATATTTCGGGGAATTTTTCTTTCCAAAGGAAGTAAAGTCTGTGAACAAATTGCAAACAACTAATGCCTGGTTTGCATGGTTTGGTACAGAGAGCATTTCAAAACTAGGGCCAACACTGCATACAGATCCTCTGCCTACCATGCCTGGCAAACTTAATCAATGATGTGTAAATGTGCCCCCAAGGCCAATCAAAATCAAATTGTTCATTGGAACAAATTCCATATTTTGGTTTAAATGCCGGTGTGTTAAAAAACATAGACCCGAGAACATGTACCAGGGTAAAACACAAAAGTAGCCGAAGTCTGAGATTCAAGCATAGGCCTATATTTGTCTACTTTTTTCAATGCAGTGCTAAAGACAATTTTTTCTTGTCAACTGCTCAGGATTGAAGTCAAAGTTTGTAAACATTTATCATACCGGTATCATGTCAATGGAGATTGAAAGCTGGGGCCCAGCCACAGACTAAGTCCCAAAATTAAAGATCAACTAGACTATGGAAGCTGTATTCCTTCTCAAAGATGCATCAAATTTGATTTGTTAAAAATCTAGCAGACTCTACTCCCAGACATGATAAAAGATCTCCATCAAATAGGCCCTACAATCAAAAAGCTCAAAGCTTATATTAGGCCCCGGCAGAGGTTTCAGTGAGTGGTAGGCCTAAGTAAATAACCTGTCTGCTAAACAGGTACTTGTACTGATGTAGGCGTAGGCCTAAAACATTTTGTCAGTCCCTAATAAAGGTACCCAAGTACCGGTCAAATAAAATCTTGTCATGATGCCACAGGGGACTATGAATTTAAATGTACCTACCGGCTTGAATCATATGAAAGTCCAGAGTGTGAGTTGTATCTTTTCTTTACGAATGCGTCCCGACGGTCGCTTGACACCGAAGTTGCCGAACTGGAACCCCCCGGCGTGTCGGCAAGGAACCCGGTGCCATCCTTTAAGGACGACGGCGAGTCCGAGTCGTAATTAGGCCTAGGCCGGAGCCTATGCCGGTTGCTAACGTTCATATTTCACGGGTCATTCCCTCAAAAAAAAACACAAAAAAACATTATTCCAAAGGAGTTCTTGCAACGCAGCAAAATTGTAAGTCAGCGGCATGGTTTCAAACGTTGAGCATTAAGGTGAGCAACAGCAGTGTAAATACGAACTTCAAACTTGGTCGATTGTCAATTTGGCTTCAAAATGGCCGGTCCCGTTGCTAACCAAGGTCTGCCACGGTTGGCATCATTTCCCACAATGACCCCCAGTGAACAAAATCGATTTCCCCACACTGCGCCAACGACGACAAAAAATCCATAGTAATCCGACATTGGCTTATCCAGATAGTGTACTCAAGACTGATAAATTGGTAAAGCCGGTTTGTTCAACATACTCCCGCAGAAGTGAAGTTGTTATGAAGAATTTGTGAACACTGTCAGCGTACGTACGTGACCGTCCACTAGTCCAGACTGAAGAAACAATTCATCAATTATAGCCTGAACGTAGCCCTGACGTGTTGCGTGCACATATCATAGAAGTGGAATATCTTTTACTATATGCCAGACTATAAATACCAACTCAAAGAATTTTGGGGTGGGACGCCACGGGCCTAAATTTCAAGGTCACTTGCAAAGTTTATTGGCCAAGAGTTTTATGACATTCAAGCCAGCACTACAAAGAAATGTTAGGTTGACATATATTAATTATAATGAAAATTAGTTGTTTCTTACTTGAGCATCGGCAGCGTATACACGGGCGTCGACAGACTTGGGGGGGTGCCGCATGAAATTTGGCGACGGACTGTCGCGCAGTCTGATCCCCTAGCCCGCCGACACTCCGTTCTTGTTTTTTTATTGAGCCAACAGACCATGATTTTGCTGACAAAACTAACCAAAGGGGGGTGTGACACCCCCGGCGCCCCCGCCCCCAGCGACACCCGTTCGTGGTTACAGGAGAGAAACTTTTCAAGAGGAGGGGGTTGCGACACTGACTTCCGCAGCTAAAAGTTTCTCAGAGTTACAAACATTGAAGAAATGGAATCGTTGCACGTGTACTTGGACGTCGGAAAATACACACAATGAATGTAGTCATGCGAACACCGTACGAATGAATAAACTGAATGCATGAAGTAATGATGCTGACAGCTAAATGCCTCAACTCAACTTCAAGTTTACAAAAGGTTTTGTGAAAAATCGGCGAAGGGGTTCGTGAAGAACTGTAACACTGACACAAGTACCGTGGGAAATTTACACCTTACTATTCGTAATCTCCAAACTTTTAGTCTCAACTTAACGGAAGAAAAGTGCATTATTTATGTACAATCCGGCACCCTCACAATAAAGCCTTAATATAGGTACAGACCAATAAATAAATTGCCATAGACAGCAGTGATAAATATCTCCACTTCAAAATATTAGGAAAAATACTCAGAGTTTCACAGGTATTCAAGACACATAAGAAATTAAAGCTCACTTTCTCATCTGTCATTTTCCTTTCATTTTTTCAGCGGCTTAACCGATAACTTTTGAAGATATTTCTCTTTAGAGAAAATCACCCCTCAAAACAGTCATGAGGCCCATCTCATTTTGGAAATTTATGCCTACACTTCATTGCAAAATAAAGCTATTCGGAGGGACCATTTGGTCCAATACTTTCAGAAATACAAGCTGATAGTCCTGCCCCTGCATTTCATCCACCTTTTTAACAAACCACCCAGTCCACGTGCCATGAAAGGCTCTAATAGCAGAGAATTTCATAGCCTATAAATCATGATTTTGTCCGCGCAAGCAATCTTGGACCTATTTACTGGCCTGCAACCCTAACATTATTTTCCAAAGGGTGGGGAGTGCTGAAGTTTTTATTCATTAGGCAGATTCTTTTCACAGTTTTATGGGGGCGCTCATACTATGATGAAGCGGATGAAGCCACATGTAACTTGAGAAAAAAGCAGGCAATATTTGGTTTTCTTCAGTGTTGCAGCTATATGTCGTGAACGTGATCCTTATATGAGTAAACTTGACACATTGTCGATTGTTTTATGTTTCAGCATTGGTCTGTGTAGCCTTTTTACCCGTAGAGAGACGTAAAATGTTTTACTCCAAAGTTAGTGGTTTAAAAAAAAGCACCTTATCAAGTTGTAGTAAATGAGAAATTTCTTAAGGTACGCACTTTTAAAACAGAGTTTGCACTAGGGGGCTTGTCTATTTTAACTCAAATATATTTGCTCCAAATGCTCCAAATGTTTATAAGTCTGTAAGTCTCTATCTCCTAAGACAAAAAACAGAAAGAACTTCATGCATGCATTCAAAAGTAATTGTTTGTTTAACAAAATGTTTGAAATGTAGAAATTATGCCGAAAGAGGTATTACAAAAAATTCTGCCCTTTATCTGGATTTTTATTGTTTTATGCATTTCAGACTATGAGGTATAAACAAACAATCTGAATGCACTTTTGTGGATAGACCTATGCACATTTCCTCGACTCTCTACCTTCAGTCACTCATATAACTGTCACAAAAGTCGTCCTAAAAAAGCCGCGGGGAAGAGAATCCGCCCCTCACCATTTTTCTGATATCGCCGTAGTGCATTTTTTTCAGGAGTTGAGTCTTAATGAGTTTTGGAGTAACTCTTTGCAGTCATTTTGACACCAATTTTGTAAAAATCAAACGAACAGTTCTTGCGTAGCGTGCATTTATCCTAGACCGGTGAACCAAAGATTTGGTTTGGTACTTAATGCACGCGGGCTGGCTCCCATGCATGTAGCCTTGAACTTCAAAACTTCAAATGACGAAAACAACAAAAGAATAACTTCTGATTGAGCTCAAACATCATTTGTAATAACAAGGAGTATTTTTACATTCACATAATGTTTCAAAAAAATCGAGCTCGGCATAGCCGAGTTCTTGGAGGGGGACAATCCCCCAATGGCAAAAATAACGCAGTTCTTTTAGGATTAAAAGGAAACAAGCAATGAACATTCAGTTCAACTTGTTTCCATGCATATCATTATGTGTCACAATAGTACACGTATACAAACATGATTGAAATAATCTCCAGAGTTCGGCATCCTTTCTCCTGAAGACGAACAGAGCACACTGTTCGAAAAGTCGAGTGAACCCCGGTTCTTTTCAGAACCACACACACTCAAAGAGAGAATTTGATTACATGGTGTCACCGCAAACTTCACATAGTTAGTACTTTCGCCATGCATAGCCTCAAGTCTTATTTATGATTGAAATACTTTTAATAAGGGCGTTTCACAATAGTGCGCCTCCAAGAGTATGTAACGCGTTGACCAATCACAGTGCGCGAAATCTGTCGACCCAATGCGCGTTTGGAAAGGGTCGACAGATTTCGCGCATTGTGATTGGGTCAACGCGTTACAAACTCTTGGAGGCGCACTATCGTGAATCGCCCGTATTGGAAGTGAAAAGAAAGCGGCAGAGCCCCTAGTGTTTCCATTTTTAGAAATACTTCCACCAACATCATGATGAACAAGCCCACTATTTTGATGCCACGCACGGCATTCCTTGTCAGAAGAGCATGATTAGTAAATTACCAAACCAATCCTTCAAAATCACTCAAGTACCGACAGTGTTTTGAAAATATTGGCCACTAAGCAAACAAGCTTTTCAACCATAACCAACGACCGCGCCATGACAAGCTAACGCACGCGTGGCACAATGTTATGAGCCTCGAGATGGACGAAGAGAGGGCGCAATTTTCTGAGCAATGGAGGCTCCTTTGGTCGTAAATGGAGATCAGTGGTCGGAACTGAACTTTGGTGCTTACAAACGACTATTAGATGCACGCAAACGGTCGCATCAATACCAACAAAAAGAACACTCCCGATCAGTGTGGCTCTTTTCAACCGTACCGCTGATGGGTGCAAGTTCTGCTCATGGCGAATAAAAACACGTTTATGAATCGTGCAAAGATTACAGAAACGGCTAATAACTTTACCCTTTAAGTTGGGTGTGCGTCTTTCGAACGCAAACGACAAACGAAATAGGGGCGACTGTTCAGTCAAAAAGGTCACATCTTACCCAACCACTTTGCACAACAAAATTATGCGCACCAACAGAATATGCATAATAATGGCTCCAACAGCTTAGAGGCCCACATAAATATTTAACAACCCAAACCCTATAAAAACTTTGGAATAGCCTTTGGTTTAAGAATGCAAGTAAATTTATTAAGTAAATGACTGGCCCATAACTTCTTCCCGACATCGCCTAACAACCAGAATACAACAATCGATGTGCTTCACTTTTCATCTGACTTTCAATCCAAACCATCAGTGATGCAGAACCGTGCAGTGATGCGTATACAGGTGCTATCAGCCGCGTCGATGCAGAGTATAGACCGCGGGGCTGTAACTTGCGGAAAGTGTTTGTATAGAGCTATCACACCCCTCACCCTTTATGGTTCAATATGTGTCATAAACAAAAGGTTACAAAAATGGAAACAGATCCATTTGAAAAGTGAATCCAAAGAGTGAAAATTCACTCCATTTTAGTAAAAATTCAATCCCTCAGATTGGTATTAAGGACCAGACGAGTTGGAGTGAAATTTTTTCACTCCAGAAGATTGAAATTTCACTCGAGCTTCCCCTGGAAGGGGCTATTTTCAGCCTTCTTCAGTCTAAATTCAGAGTGATTTTTCACTCTAAAACGTCTTGTCCAAAATTTCAATCTTCCCAATTTAGAGAGTATATACACACACATGAATTCATCTGAAGGCGCGTAGTCAGGGATTTACCTTTATCTGCCAAAATAAAGATGCTAGTATTTACAGTCGACTGTCATTTCAGGAATACTTTGGTAACATTTCCAATGCTTTTGTCGCTTATTTATGCCATCCTGATTTTTCTTTATGATATGCTTTCACCATCACGATTTTACAATCCATGTTGCCGTCGAGTCCCGGTTTGGCCTCCATCAGTGTTTTGTTTTTGTTTGTTTTTTTAAATCCCAATCACTGTTGCAGTCTGATACTTCCCCTTTGATTGCAAGCTGAATGCAGTGGTGTTCGGCCCGTTTACCGGGTTTGTTCCAGGGAGGGGGAAACCGGAGTTCGAAATTACAATAAGGCTTTTCATTCGTAAATTTATAAACCCAATTGAAGAGGTGGTAATGTATACCGTTTTTTAGAAGTGCCATAGTGCTTTGGGGGCATGGCAACATGTTTTGGGGGAGTTTTCCTCATCGTTGGACATGCCACCGACTGAACGTTAAGACAGTGTTATCCGCGCAAACTAGGTAGAATTTTGTGCACCTGCAGGCATGTGAGTGATATCCCTCAGTCATGCCACTGAGCGCTGAGCGTAACCGAAAAGTATTAAACAATCAAATTAATGTCATTTTGTTAAGCAATCTTCTTGCATGATAGCAACCAAAGTGACGTCACAATAAAAAGGGGGGGTCAGATTCGTACGCGCTGTTGTTGCTACTCAGGGCAAGTTTGATCTAGGACCATAGTTAACCATTGTTTGACTAAACTCTCATCGAACGTGCGTTAGTCGGCGATGGTTGGACCAGTTTCCTACCTCCATGGTTGGACTAGTCTAGTCAACTATTCGCGACCAGCCTACCGAGGTTGGTCGAGTCGTTGGTTGCCATAACCATTTTTAATAGTACAATGAAGAGAGGACCAGTTATAAGACAAATGCCGGGAAAAGAGTATGCTACTAGTAAACGACCATTTTTATTGTAGTTTTGGCTGTTTTGCCCTTCCTGTGGCCACCTTTTTTCGCATTCAGTCTAACGACCTGACGATTGGCCATTATGGTCTTTTGCAATTCAACTTCACTGCACATGCGCTGGGTACGTCACGAACTAACCACAAGTTAATTAACTAGTGGGCCTTGATCGAACTTGGCCCTTAGATGTAGAATAAACACATGCACGTAACTTAAACTTCTGCCGGTGCTAAGTCACAAAAGCTTCACTTTGATAGTGCCAAAATGCGTGGGACTGTACCAGTTAGTTTGTACCTGTTCGTTTTTGCGTCTTGTACTCAACATGACAAGAACACGTGTGCGGTCGCATATGGATATCTTCAGGATGATTGTATCGTTCGAGGGTAAGGAACTATGAAGTGAATCAAAGATTTATAATGCATGGATACACGACCATGACGACACAAACTGCATCTGACCCATGGAAGAAACAGCCAATAACTATTCAAGAGCCTGTACCACATCGTTTGCAAAATGGGTATCGAATAAGTCCCGCCGTAACACCAGTGGAATAACACCAGAAGTCTTTTTAAAAAACAATTTTATCAACAACTGGTGTCTAACTTAAAGTTCAAGGAATGCTGGAGCAATTTGGGTTTGTGGATGTTTGTGGACAGTATATAGATTTATATCTCAGGAAAAGAATCGATTTGTCAATTTCTTTGGCAATGAGTGAATTTTAATATGCGATCATCCTTGCATACGCCACTTTCCAAATGATCGTGCATTCTTTAAAAATAGAAATTATGTATTGAATAAAAGAAATCGAATAGTCAGTGCAGTCAGTAATATGAATGGCCAAATTTAGAACTTTTTTCAAAAATCCTTAATATTTCACCGACATAGAAAGGTGGGAAAGGCATCTCCTTTTGCTATTTCATTTAGTTTCATTAAATGTTCACCGAATGACAACTGCAAATTTCATAAACACCCTTTTTATTAAATAGTCTCGAAAACAGCTATTTTCAACAAGACCTTTACCCGCAGCCATTCGTCAAAATCAGTGAAAATACGGCCAAGGTTGGTGGTCTTGTCATCCCAAATCCGTGCATCGCAAAGAGGGCCTGCGACTCATGGCCATTACATGCCACTTGTGCAATTTCGCAATATCTCTAGCCCCAAGAAGGGCGGATCCAGAAACAATTTCTTGGGGAGGCAAAGTTGTTTGGGGGAAGCAAAACTTTTTCATGTAACCATTTATAGCCTTTTTGAGGATGAGGCTACAATTTGGGGCTTTTCATGCGCTTTTTGAAGAAAACAAACTCGATGAGGCTATTCGCCTTTCTCGAATTATTTTTCCCAAAAAATGGGGGGTTCCGAAGTCGCTCCCGTTAGCACCTGGATCTGCCCATGGCCCACCAATAAGTATTCTGTGGATTAGCGGCATACCGTTACCTTTTGAGGAAAGACACCCCCGTACTAATGACCGACACTTCGTGCTTGCTTTCCAATGATGCCCGCTGCACTGGACCACCCCCCGCCCGGTGACTCAATAGGGGAGCGTCCATGTAAACAAACTGTGACGCCATCATCGTGTAGGGTTATTAGATTTGTTATGGGCTCATGTTGCTTGTTTCATAAAGTGTTGTCAGCGTCTAAGTCAAAAGTAAGTTATAACCATTAAAGTTGACTTCAAATTGTACATTACATCCCTATTTACATCGGACCCGACACATACATGGTCAGAGAAACAAATCTCGCGTAGGGTCGCCAAAATGTTACTATATTAGCCTAATTATACCCCATTGTAAATTAAGTATCAAGAGAACAAAAATAAGATGTTCCGGCACACTAAGCCCACTGATTAGGGTGTCCTTCGGGCGATGAAAAGATTTGAAGACTTGAATGCGTTTGTAACAATGGACACTAGGGTGCTATTAAAGTCTTCCTTTTGCCATCTCCCCTTCAATTTGGGCAGACTGTGTCCCTTGTTAAACAGATTATAAACACAGTAGAAGAGCCCTTGGACAATTCTGTACGAATGCTTGGAACAGTGATTTGAATAAGTAAATGTAGCGGAGGGTCCTAGCAAAGAAGCACCCCGCCTGACAAAAAGTCTTTGATTCGCATCTGCCCTTTTTTCCTCAGAAAAAAAATAAACAAAACATTACACCAGCCAGTTACGCAGTTTCGTCAGTTAAGGTAGCAGGAGGCACATGTCCTGTATATTTCAGTCGGACAGAATTGAATTAATCAAATCTGATAATGTCCAGCGGGACCATGAAGTTAAATATCAAAATCTGTGACGAATCACTGGCGATGAAAACATTACCGGCACAAATACCGGGTAAGGTTAGGGTGCGCTCGGTAAGTTTGGCCGTGCTGAAGTCGGCGGGGGCGGTGGTGCGTCCCCGTTCGTTTTCATCGATCGTTTTTCCCCACAAAAAGCTATTTCCGCAGACCACAGATCTGCTCATTAATTCAACGATCCCCAGCTCTGCTAACAGTGTAGGTGAAGGAATAGCTTCTTCGCTGGGAGTCTGTTCGCGCGACAGGCAACCTCCGGAAGACGGAACGAACACAGGGCCGCACGTCGGCGACGTCACCGGCGGAGAGGAGCAGCAGTACCCATGGCTGTACGACGACGCGACCCGCTACATGGAATGCTTGGACGAGTTCCAGCGTTTCTCCGACGAGTGGGAAGGGGTGGAGGGCTGGATTAAGGAGCATCTCGTCGAGCTGATCGAGGCTCAGGACCAGCGGGCCTTCCATGATGCAGCTCTTGTGACGCCGGCAACGATAGACTGTGTCCTACCAGGTCCGCTGCAGGAGGACGATCAGGTTTACTGGATGCTTGGAGTTGGTAGTGGATCAGGTGAGCAATACAAACTTTACAACAAAGTTTTTCCTGTTCTCAGATGTGTTGCAAAGAAGGCGATATAAGTCTTTTGTTATTGAAAACTATCACTATAGGCCCACCTGCAAATCATGAATAATTGATATTCATGTCATTTTTTTACGCTGATTTACAGCGTGCCCTGCTCTCATACTGTCTTGCAAACGTTTATGGCAACAAATCTGTTAAAAAATGGACCGAAAATTTCCTCAAAATGCATCGATTCCTTAAAAGGGGTAGAATATCCAGGGGACATATCTAGTTTCACCCTGGGTATACGCTACTGATGCCGAGAAATCCTATGTTTTTCATGGTTTCATTATTAGACGCCACTAGAAAAAAAGCAGGCTCCACTGACCTGAACTTCAGCAGTATCAGGCATCGATGTCACTAAAATTACATGCCAAGTTGCAAATCAAACTTTGTCATGCAAGGTTGAAATCTCCGCCTGAAAGGAATGAAACCAATCATCTTCCGAAGTTTTGAATCGATCGGAGTTAAAAAACGAGATTTTTCAGTTAAGTGTTGGTCTTATCCCCCTGCAATGTACGACTGCGTTCCGTCTTCGTTTTTCGGTTCAAACAGTACTGGTTTGGGTTTAATTTTTTCTCATTTTTCTCATTTTTCTAATTGTTATAATTTCCAGATTCCATTGACTGAATTTCCGTAGCGATGATTGCTTTATAGGTGAAGTAGATCTAGCCATTCTCCGTGCGCTGTTGCCCCATCATCTACGCGTCTCTACCACGGTGATCGAGCCGGACCCGTCTCAGATCGGTCTGTACCGCGAGCTCATGGCAGACAGCGAGTTAAGCGGAGCGACCTTCGAGTTTCACCAGCAAACCTCTTCGGAGTTCATGGTGAGATTTCGGTCGATGCGGGAGAAAGTTTAACAAATTATGCAACTGAAAAATGATCAGTGTAGGCCTAATTACTAAACTGCACGACAAACGTTAAAAATGATCAGGAACTTCGAATAGGAAGGTATAGACTTACATTATTACGTATTTATAAACAGAATAGCGACCTGTTCCATAATTCTATAATCACCTGATAAAATCCAAATCGACAGAACACGGAAATATATAAAGAGCACTATTTGTTCCAAATGATTTAAGCCCCAATTCGGTTGTAGATTTTGTTTGTTTAGTTTTTTATTTGGTTTATGTTTTGGTGAAATAAAATGATGAATTCTGAATTCATGAGGGGTACAGGCTTCTCTAACACTGATCCCACCGTTTGTTCTGGTCTCAGATGGAAAACTCTGGAAACAATAAGACCTTTGACTTGATCCACATGGTACATGTCCTGTACCACATTGAAAAGCGGGACTTGGAGGAAACCCTCTCGCATTACTATAAAAGTCTGAGTCCAGGAGGAATGATGATCATCGCTTATGAATCAGGTAACTTCACTTCCCAATTTCACAATGTTGCTTTTATCGTCCCTGATAATTAATGATCGGACGCTCGGACTGGATGCCAAGCAATGCGGGTGATTCACAATAGTGCGTCTCCGAGAATTTGCAACGCGTTGGCCAATCATAACGCGCGAAATCCATCGACCCTTCCCGTTTCCAAACGATCATTGGGCGACAGATTTCGCGCATTGTGATTGGCCAACGCGTTGCAAACTCTCGGAGGCGCACTATTGTGAAACGCCCGTGTTAAGTTACCATTCTTTAAAGCAGTAATCTCTTTGCCATGAATTACTACTAGTAGGCCTGGTTAAACATTCAAACCTTGAAGTGTTCTTTCGGGGTGCCTATGTTGCTGCTTCGGCAAACCCCACAACCGAGTCCTCTTCATTTCCCACATACTCAAAATAAATATGGACAATAAACTAAAATGAAACCCTTCATAAGAAATTTTCAGTACACAGCCTTACAGGTGGACAAGTTTCACGCATTTTGCTGTTCTTGTGTACACAATCCGAATGTATACTTTAATACGGTAGTTACCGAAAATTCACTGCAAACGCGGCGAACACCGGGACTCGAACACTTGACGCAACTGCCCACGAAATTTGAGATTTTCTTTCGACTGCGTAAGTATAACAGAGAAGTGGGTTGGCAACTGTCTGCATGCCCTGTGCATTACACAACCTGCTGCAGTTTGCCACATTGCATCAAGTGAGACGGTAGTTTTATGTTGATCTTTCAAATCACAGATAAAAGCAGTCTTGCAAGGATTCGCAAAGTGCTCCAGCCGTTCAAACGGGGAACGCCCCCGTACATGTCCATCGGCGACATCGAGAAGGCCCTGTTGAAGGTGACACCCACCTTCCAGCGAACTAACATCCCGGGGACACTGGAAGTCACCGCCTGCCTGACGGGAGACTCCTCCGCCAGCGGGGAACGCCTTTGGGACTTCATCACCCGCGTGGTGAACTTCCGTGCTAACGCGCCAAAGGAATCAGTGCGACGGGCCGCCGAGATGCTACGCGAGTTCTCATGGCAGCTGGACGGCAGCGATAGATTTCTTACCAACTGTGACACGGCTGTCCTGGTGGTTGCAAAACGAGACGTTCCGCCAACAGAATGTCAGTGAAAAGGTTTCACATCTAAATGATTTACGCCGGCGTAAAATAGCCAATAATTTCTGATGGGTCACACAGTCCGACAATACGATTATGTAAATTATGAGTCCTCCGCGCCTTCTGCAAATTACTTCGTTAGCGCTTAGTGGCCAGGCGATTAAAGAGAGAAGACCTTATTACCGTGCAAGTTTTTATCAGAACAGTCTTGAAAGACCTTTAAAATAATACCAAATTCACACAACAGTGAATATATAATGTTGTGGAAATGTAAGCAGTTAATTTTGGTGGTCTCCGTTAATAATAGCCGACAAACTAAAGCACTTGTGTTTATAAGTACACCATCGACGATCAAATAATTTATTCAATTTTCTGGATTTATACCTACTAAACTGTAAGTACACATTCTATTAAATCTGTCTCATATAATGCACAATTTCACGTACACAATCTGTTTCCCACTATTCACAACATGTACAAAATAATGAAAAAGAAAAAAAGCTCACGACAGGATGTAACACTTTTGGCATACCAAACACTAAAGCAACTTTAAAATTTGTCCACTCGGTGCTGACTCCTTCCAAAATCTATAACACTCGGCTTGTTTACGAAGGACAAATGGTGAAGCAAGCCAAAAGCTCTGAGCCCGGCATGCAAGCAGTTGGCTATCCTCAAGCAATCTTATTTCTACATCATCGAGGACGATCTACAAGCCAAACTCTTAAGAGGGCCATTTAGGCAGACTCTTGTGCTGAGCCTGATGAGAGAGTCCTTAAAATATATCTTATCATGGCCTAAACATTTTCCACAAAAAGCCTGAAATCAGCATCTTGCATTAAAACCAAAAATCTCTTGACTGAAGCTTCCTTCTGAGTTTCTCTCCCTCATTTCGACTATTAAAGGGTTTTACATGTCCATGGGCCTAGGTTACTCGATATGAACATGAGACACACTAGTTTACAATGAATTGTTTCCGAGTTTAAAAGCAATGCTCAGCGGGGATTTAACAGATTTTCCAGAATTAAACTCTTCAATGTGATAAATATGGAGTCAATACAATGAGTGCAGCACCAATTCTAAAGTCACAGGAACCCCACTTTCCGACATCTTGATTCACAGAAAGGAAAGCAAAAGCCGTATATGAAGCCTGTGAAAAGACCTAGGTCTTTACCTGTTGCAAACAGTACACAAGGACACACAAGCAACAGACGCAGCCGTGCCTCAGGAAGCCCATTTCAGACGCAGCTACCCCACTCTGGGCTAAAAGCCTGACCGCCTCAAAATGGGTTGAATATGTCACAGGGCATCTCATAATTGATTACCAAGAACATGTCACCAGTAACACAGGGTTATTCCAACAAGAACAACCCAGGGAAGCCAGACGCTCACTTAACAATGCTTGTAGTACAAGTATATCAAGGCAATCTTCTACGCCTGGAGTAAAGGGCGAGGACAGGATGAGAACGGGGCACGTTATATTGCCACAATTAGGAACAAGCAGTGTTCCCAACAGGACTGGGTCTTTTCCCCAAGACCTGGAATGAAATCAAGCACCATTTCACGCTTGCACATGTACTTGCTTGTGTCACTGCATTAAATATAAGGAACAGCACTGCAGGTAGAAAACAAAAGGGACAATGCCTCTCTGGACAAGAGTCTTGCCACAAGAGCCAGTTCAATCACACTTTATGAATAGATGAGGAAAGACACAAACGACAGGCTGCTTGATTTAAAGGCAGTAGCTGAACATTACAGCGGCCACTTTAATCACTTGGGAAGGCTATTACACAGAGCTTATGGGCAGAACTAAAGGACCGGTCAATTTATGTTACTTCAACCGAGGTCTCTTACATTTGCCCAGGCCTCCATGAGAGACAGAAAAAAGAAATGCAACGGATAAAATTGGACATCAGGTGTTTAGACACTGTTAGCGTTTAGTTTTTAATTTATCAAAATCAGTCGTCAGTGTAAGTCCTATCACCGACATTTGTAAGGAAACAGGTACAAATAGGCATGCAACGGTGAGGTATCAAATTTATCAGGAAATTCCATTGTGCACTGGCTTGTACGTGTAAATTGGGAAATCAGCTGACCCGGGATAAGGCACATGCCTGAGAGAATGGTCCGAAAGAGTCTTCATCTGACCGTCATTTTGTCCTCATGAGTACTGATGCAGAGATAGTTGGCTTCGTTAATAAACACTGTGATTGAACTGGCTCTCTTCCACACAAAATTTACCATAAGAATGCACATGATATTCAGGAGGTTAACGATGAACAATTCCGCTACGTCATAGGATGACCTCTTTACGTTGCTGCCGTGCCCGCTTCACCGCCTCCACCCTCTTCTGCCGCTCAGCCACCTTGTTGCCCATGGTCTGGGTTAGGGGAGGGAGGGAGAAGCTTGTCTGGCTGAATGCTGCCTCTGGTCTGTAGTGCAAAAAATAGGAAATACGACAAAGCATGATCAGGTTTGAGGGTGGATCGTCATTAACTCTCCGGGGTTGGAAACTGACAAACTATAGTTTCCAAAGAATACTTCTTTTACGTCTCATATGCAATTATTCTTCAGTTTAGCATCATTGACCACAGACAAGAGACAACTAACGTTTTGTCTTCCGCCAGCAAGAATTTGGCTCTCAATCATGAATCGGTATGAGGTGTCTAAAGTTAAGTGAAAAGGATCAATAGAAGTGAATTCATGAGGACAAGCAACTTCTGAAGTCATGCTAGTATTTTTTTTTATCCCTCACCCTACGGACATACCAGGGGCAGTTTGGCATGGTTAGCCATTCAAGATTCACCCCCTTGATGGCCCCTCCATTAACTAGAATAATTTCAAATTTACAGTACTGGAAGTGGCAAGGAACAGTTTCCACAGGCAGTTTTGGAAGCCTTCTGCTTTTAAATGCTTACTGACTGGAGTGACCTAACATGTCGAATCTTGAAAGACAAAGGGGCTTGCATTTTGATCTCCGCCTGCTATCGTAAAGTCTCTCTCGAAAGTCAAAACAGCAAAGGAATGCTAGGGGAGGCAGTTTGACAGACCAAAGGATTAGGGAAGGGGGAAGGGCAACAAGTGAAAAGGAGGAATGTGGGGTGGAGGAATAAAGGAGGGGGAAAGAAGGGGGACTTGAAAGAACAAACACAATGGAGGGTCGTTGACCTCAAGAAGAGCAGATAATATGTAATCCGCCTCGAGCAGAGGCACCACCTCATTGGCTGAGGGAGCCATGTTGGTAGGGAGTTCAAGTGCTAATTTTGTTGGTAGCGATTCAACCCTAATGCATGCATTTCATATATACGGTCATTTGTGAACCAGTGAAGTGCAGATTCTACAAAAGGAGCCAGCATTGCTCGGAATACTGCACCCTCTCTTGGTCCAGCTATTAAGAGAAACTGCGAACACTGGACACAGTATATAACATGTTCGGAAAACATTTGACCCAGCTAATGCACAGAAACATGCCTTTGCAGTGAGCACATCACATGGGCTTAACAGACTTACATCTTTTTGCTTTGATTCTTGAGAGATATTCTGGGCAGTTTGCTGTCCCTGAAAAACAAGCCAAATTCAAGAACAAAAATTACAACCTTAGATTGGTAGTGACAGAGCAGAGAGCTGAAGGGGAGTGCTTCTTCACAAAGCTAACATCTCCCTGGGGAGGGGCACAAAGGGTGCAACCTTGTTAGCGCTCACATCATTATGAAGTGTATATGAGTAACTTTGCTAATCTGTAGCATATTCCCATTGGTGCAGGGTGAAGAGTGCCAATGGCAGTGCATCAAAAACTAGCCTCCCTGCTTTTCAACTGTTAGTGTGTACCTATGCACAAAGTGATTCAAATCAGCCAGCAAATCAGACAGCTTGTAAGTGCAGTCAGCCATATTTCTAGCTCAACTGAATGACCATAACAACCGACCTAAACAAAGCTTGATAATTACCCAGCACTGGGGTCCTCGTCGGCCACATAGGCCTTAGCAAGTAGGTAGGCATCGGGTGTCCACTTGTGGGAGTACAAGACATCTTTCAGATCTGACTTCAGTTGGGACAGCTGTTGACAAACGTATAATGATGAATTTTGTTGAGACATGGAAGGAACTAACAAATACGTGCACATTCTCTGCTTCTGCAAGTTTAAGCCCGATCAGGTAACGTGTTAAGTAATGCCAGGTACAAGTATGTTGAAATGCTGTCCGTAAATTAACATTTTATTCATATGCAAAACATTTTTAGAGTTTAATGATTCCTGTATTTAAAATCTGACACTTTGTTAAATGGTACACCTTAAAATCATAAAAATGGCATCTTAATGTGAGCTACATGTAGATATCACTCTGTGAAATGCTGGTGCAAAAACAAAACTCCATGATGAACTCATGGAGGTTCCTCGCTTGTTCAGGCTTAGGGAAATGTAGAGTGCCATATACCTCTCGGGACTGCCTGTCGCCGTGCTCCTGCAGGTGCCGAATGATGACCCCACACTCCTCCAATGTCGGGGCCCTTGGCTGGGGGTCGCCGGGGCCCTGGACCTTCAAGGGGTCCATGCTGACCGGCACGGGTGGGCTGGGGCGGTTCTGCTCGGCGGGACTTGTTTGCTGGGCTGCTTCTTGACTGGGTGGCCTGCCAAATATAGAGGGAAGAAGGCCATTAGTTTTGTGCATGCAGTAATCGACTTCCAGATCCCCCCAAATCATCTTGCGATACAGGATTTTTCAGGATTTAGGATGATAGAGACCAGTTGTAATTATATCAAGAATACATTTTGAGGTCCAGTTAGAGGTAGTAACACCGTGCCTTGCCAGTTTGTTGCAGGATGGGGGCATCTGATGCCCTGTTAATCTAAATTCTCAAATTTCTCCACTGTATACTTTGAATTGGTTAAGGAATTATGCAAAAAATGTTTGCCATCTCAGACTACCTGCTAACTGATGTAAAATTCAGTTAGCAGGTAATTTAACCTTCATATTTTGGGCAAAGTTCCCTTGGTAATAACTGCTTCCTGAAAAGGAAACAAACAGCCATTTTCTGTGTTCTGCTTTTATCGATTAATTTATCATGAAACTTGAGATTTTCAAAAACATAATACATATAATTATATGCAAACGAACAGGCCAAAAACGATTTTTATTTATTCCGTTAACGGAGCACTGTGTTAGTTGTACTCCGTAACCTCAATTAAATTTCAGAGGGTTCAAGGGAACAAGGCAAGAGAAATTCCAAAGCCAAAAATCTTCCAAAAAAATTCAAGTATTCCTGCAACTCTTTCAGATGGCAGCAATTTAAAAACGCACTTACAGTATACAGACGGTACGTGTACTTATCACTAACCAAAAAATATCATAAAATCCTGACATCTGGCTGACAATCCTGACATTAATTTAGGCCACATCCAAATCACTTAGCAGTGGCTTGAAATTATAAATGACACTTTGGGAACTGGCTCCAGCCACAACCATAGACTTTTATGTAATTCCAAGCCGAGTAGTTCGGACATGATCTCAGTTAAAAAAGCCGCATCTCAAAAGAGAACCTCACAAATATAAAATGAATGCTAGGATCGAGGGCCTATCGAGTGAAACTTGGCACCGACATTTGATGGAAATTCTTCCTTACGTACCTTTTCTCCACTGCATCTTTGAGTAACCTTTGGAGGTAAGAGTTCCGACCCCTGGCATCTTGGACAGCCACTGTGAGTTCCTTCACTTTGTCCTCCATGTACAGCATCTTAAGCTGGTCAATTTTTTGAGCTGGAGAAAAAGAAAATGCAAAGAAATGTTCACAATAACACTTGGGGGGTGGACAATATTTGCGCAAGTCCATGATCTTGTGCGTCGTCGTTTCTTCAATTGTGCAAATTCATTGACAAAGATTAGCATACATGTATTAAAATAACCAACAGGCAATTTAGTGCCGTGCTGCCGTTCTCCTATATGATAGATCTTGTGAGCTTTTATTAAAGATTCCAACTCATCTGGGAGCGGTGGACCCATTTTTGAGGGGTAGGATACTATCCCTGCTTGGCACAGACATCAGTTGATATTTTGTTCTGATGCCTTTCTAATTCTGGAACATTATATATTACCCTGTAACTGGCTATTTCCAAGCACAAGTTCTCCTTCAGACTTGATTGATGAACTTGACGATTCTGTGAGAAAAAAATATATTTACATGTTAACTTTTCGAGGACAAGTTTCTGAAAGCAAGTAAATTCCAAGAGGTCAGTTTTCATCATGATCATCCACAGTTGTCATGCAGGCTGAAAGTTTCAAATGACATTTTACCGGATATCTCGCATTAACCAAAGCAACCCTCAAAGTGTTTGGGATGGGACCACTACAGAATGCAACAACCAGTTTCAACAGCCCAAGCGCCTGGGGAAACCAGCCATAACAATGTGAAACAATGGCACAAGCTGTTTAATGTGACTATACGTGCAACTCCCATTACTGTCTCAGATTTGGCAGTTAATACAATTGCTGTGACTCGAACAGTCAAGAACAAGGTTTCATAGTTTGTAAATCTTTGGCATTTCATGCAAAGAGCAAGGTATTTGGTGAATCAACTGAAAAATAAAAATGAAACAACTTGATAAAGAGGATGCACATATGGATAAAAATCCACGTGAAATACGTCAGATTTTCAATTAAACTTTGGCTTACATTTTTCAGGCCAGAATCTAAGCTTACCTTTCTTTGGGCTTGAAGTCCTTGCCATGATAACTTTAAATTGCAGTTCTAGATAAAGATAAATAAGAGGACTAAGCCATAAAGTTGTAATGTTAAATGTTATATGCATGGAAACTTGATCAAACAGTATCAACTCCACAAATGATCTCACTGCAAGAGGATGTCTTTTAATGGGGAAATTACGGCTGAGATTAGTCAGATCTAGAGAACAGTTACTTCGTTTAAAAAAAGGGAATGTTATTTGTGGTGTCAGTTTACAATTTTTCCATGCAAGTACATGTATCTTTATCAAGTACAAGGCACACCTTTGCTAAGCCTATGCACTGTTCACTTATAGTTCACTCATGAAGACAAAATGTCTGAGTTCTTATAATTCAATGGTTCAACTATCCATGTATATAGCAGTCATTTGAAAACCACAGAGGGTAAATTGCTATTCTCGACGGTGAATGACTACAATGTAATATCTAGACCAAAGGTCAAGTAACCCATCAATTCGATAGGAACAGATGGCTGTATCACAACCTACCCGGTAGGTGACCATATGTCACACATAAAAGGATTTGTTGTTCTCATGGCAAATGCTTAATGACATTTATGGGTAGCAAGTGAGAAAATTTTGAAAACAACATAAATTTTTGTATCATTTTCAGGGGGTTACATGTTCAATAGTAATTCTTAATTTCATTATACAATTTAGGTACTGTATGTGTATAGTTCCATTAAAATCCACATGTAATTTCTTCTTGTAATAATGTCCAATAAATAAATGTATGTGCGTACATGTATCTCTTCGGATGATATCCATGCATCTGTGTAAATTTTTGAAACAACACATAAAACCCAAGAAGAGTATTTTCTGGCTGGTTAATTTTGTGAAAAAAACTTATTTTAGAAAGTGTTTGGTTTTGCATTGTATGTCAGTGTTGTCTTTAGATTTTTGAGGTGGGGGAAAAACAGTAATGTCCTGTTCTACAAGGTCAATAAAAAATAATCAGAATTAATGTTGATGTCAGTGACAGATATGAGAAAGATGAAGATGACGGTATGTGTTGTTGATTATGGAACTCATAATGACACTGACGAAATAGAACTGGTGAAGATCAAAAAGCTGGCACTAACATTGATTGATCACTGAAATTGTCTGAAAACAACATTAAATACCGTACCTTTATTTTCCCTCTTCAACTCATCGATCTCCTGGTGGAGACTGACCAGCACCTCGTGATGCTGCCTCTTCAGAAACTCCATGCTGCGCTCCATGTGGTGCAGCCTCTGGGCAGGGTCCACCGCATCTGACCCACTGGTGTCCAGGATCTCACTGTCGGTGTGGAGCACAAGGGAGGAAGAGGCGGCAGCACTGGAGTTGGTTGGGGGCAGGACGGGGATCTGGTCTTTGAGGAAGGGGCGTGGGTAGCGGGCCTTGTCCAGGGACTGCACTCGCTGCCACTGGGGCAGGTTGGCTAAGGGCGGGAGTGTCATGGACATGACTGGCGACGCCATGTGCAAAGTGTGTCACTGTGCTTCAGATAACTTCTGTTCTTCTGTAACTTCTTTTGGGCAGATTGGGTGATTATTTTTCTCCCCCCACTCAAGTATTTCCTTACGTTTCAAGACGGGAGGTTAATGGCGCTCAACAAGACTGTCAGGTTGGAATGTGGTGTCTCAAGAAATTACCAGTTGAATCGAGTGTCATCTCTCCATGGCTTGCAGTGCAATAAGCGAGGACAGCCAAGTTACAATCTGAAAAAAATGAAAATTAAAAATAGAGAATTAATTCTTGCCAGAATGAGGATGTAGGCTGTACAGCACATCAAGTGTGAGAAAGATTGTGCATCTCTATAGGGCTGAGTCAATTCAAATAATTCACTACATGTATTTGAATATTCAACCTTCATTTTAATCAAATATCCAATGATTCGGTCATACCGACCAGCAGATTGTTGAACAAACCATACAGGTACAGAATCCATTGCAATAATGCACACAATTGTATCTCCAGCCACAATTTAACAAGATTTGACAGACGAACAATACTTCTTGCCCCGTTGAAAATTTCTGTCCTTTTTAAAGTTTTTAATAAATAATTTACTTTTTGAATCACTGCAAGATGTATTATACTGTCACTTTTTGTTTGAATCTACTTTAAATCTACTCCACAGTGTGATTTTTCTCATTAAACCCTAACCCTATATAATACTACAAATTACTACTTGTAGTAAAATGTAGTAATCAGTGCTACCGCTTGTAAGAGGACGTGACCTTATTGTTCTCTGAAGCCATAAGATACAACAGATGAGATAATGTACCATACAGTGCTGTGGCACTATGAATGCATGGCTCTATTGTTCTCTGTACGAGTAACAATGGAAGTAGCCTAGCCAGAAGTAGTAATTTGTAGCACTAGTTCCTTCAGGCTCAGGCTATTACTTAGTATTTTGTAGTACTGAGTACTGTAAGCCAAACAATATGCTTCGCAGTTAGGGTTAAAAACAAAAGAAAAGTCTCCCTTCCTTTTCATGACCTCTGCACTTGAATATTCAAATTCCGAAACTAATATTCAAATATTCAGTAATTGATATAATATCCGAATATTCTGCACGGCCCTACATATTTATGTCTTCCCGTTGAATCGATTTGTCTGGACAGCCCAGTCATCTTAAAAATCAAGTCATCTCAACCAACAAGTCTAGTCTAGGGTGCAGCTGGTCAACAGATGGGCTGTCTGACATCTATCAATCACTTTGTGCATTTTTTGAGGTATCCAAATTTCACAACAACCATGAAAACAGAGATCTACATATGCAAACTTCAGGTCACAAAAAGTTGGTACATTTTCATAACAATATTGGCCTAGTTTACATGTACTCTGAGTAACTACAGTGGGTAGTCAGTAAGTCTGCATGAATCTGGACGTGGTAAGGCATCGGCGACCATGTTCAGCTTTTTAAAACGGGGATTCGTAGAGTCCCAGTTACTCAGACTGTATGGGCTTTCAGATGAGGATTACTGTCCTTTAGTATCTTTTGGGAACTGATCCTTTTTCATTGCCAAAAATAACCAGAACTTCAGTTTCTTTCAAGCCTTTGCACTCCACAAATTGATTTTTGAAAAACAGTTGCCACGGTTGCAATGTCCAGAATAAAAAAACAAAGTAAAGTGCAAGGGTGATTTTGGACTGATCAACACTCACTTACTAGGCCTAGCTGCCTTAGGTACACAAGTAATCAGAAGTTTAAATAAAATGAGATTTGATCGAAGCTTTTCATGGTGGAGACAGCAAGTAAACAAGATAAGTTTGCGGTATCACCATGGATATATCTCTTTTCTGAGTATGAGGTTGTGAAAATAACCGGTGGTACATGACGTACTCAACTTTAAAAATCCACATAGGCCTACAGGCATCACTAATTTTTCCTTACACTGACAGAAGCTTACTGACAATAATAAAATGTCGTCAAATCTGGCAGTGAAAATATGGAAGCATTTAGGCCTAACCATGGCGGTATAAAACAGCCCAAAACATGCTAACGTTACTACTAGGTTTGTGCACATACATGTACATTACATGTAGGCCTACACGTACAGAGACAGCCACAGGGTACGGTATTTCCAGAACACTGGAGTAGAAATGTAGGCATACAGTATACTGTGCATGGCCACAGGCATGACACTTGACAGGGTGATCAAGTGATGTCTGGATATGGATATGGAACTCTTTCCTTTATTTTTTTGGGGGGGGCCTCCATTCAATTTTGATAATTCTGAGAAGACAGAAATTTGTCGTGAACTGATAAACACAGTCACGCTGATGAAATGAAATAGGCCTCAAATAAGAGTCAGGATGAGAATCAATCGTCGTGTCGATGCTCAACGTCTCGCTCGCGAAAAGACTTCAAAAAGTAGGCCTTGCCTTGGCCTAACTACACTGAACTAGTTATGCCCACATCATACACTTACATAACTTACTACAAAATAAAATCATTCCTTCAAAACCTACCGATATACCGTGAAGTTTAGCTCACCACCTCAGCAGAAACAGGTAAAACAACGTTGCTCAATTACATTTGCCAAATCTGGCGAAGTCGAGAAGACGAAAACTATGCGAGATCAACATGACGATCATTATGCGATGCATTTTTATGCAAATAAGTCCAGGTTGCCAGGTGACGTTTGACCCAAATAGCCTTAGCCTAAAATTGTACTTCAAGAAATACCCCATTTGCGATTTACAACTTACAGAGTACCATTATCAATTATTAAACATATTTTATTTATGAATGCTTTACAAAACAAAAACTCTAATTTATGGAAATTTCAAATAAAGATTGTATTTTATCAAACTACAAAGTGGTTAATAAAATGAGTGAAAAAGGCAGCAGAGGTAAGCCGTGCCGCGCTCTGCACTCGCCTGCTGCCACTGCCGCGGCTGCGGCTTGAATGCATTATCAGAAAACAATGCAAAATCGGAACGAAATAGCGCCGCCTGTTGACTCTCGTGAAGAGGTTGGCCTCCGTTTTTTTTAACTGGAAATTTAAGATCATTGCCAGAAGATCACTTTTCGTTTCAATTTCATGGGGGTTAGCCACGAAAATCTTTTTTTATTCGTCTTTCGAGGAAGATACCCCCAAAACAGCAGTAAAACTAAGCACTCTTTTCAGAATGTAGCCGCCCGCCTCTATCCAAAATAGGCTTGCAATTTGGGGCTTTTTTGAAAGAAGTACCCCCATACCCCGCTGGAAACTATCAAACCCAAATTCGGGATTTATAGAAATATTTCTATGATGCCTCCTGATTATGGCATGTCTTATTGTAAAAACCGTGTGGGGTCACAAAATATTAATGAGCTCGTGCGCAGAACTACAACTAATTGGTGGAATGCACCCATATACAGGTAGTTAGCCCAAACTTCGCATGTTATGTTACGGGGCTCTAGAAGTGCCATCCGACCTGTTGATATCCTGACATTGTACTCGGGATGAAGACGCGATACAGGCAAGATTTTGACAACATGAGATATTTATCACAGGATGGTGGCATCCTAAAAGTTGGATGAAAACATCCTGGGATATGTTATCGCGGAATGAGGACATCTTGAGATAATTTATCAGGGATGAGGACATCGTAAAAACGCGGGATGGAAGAAACTGGAGCTTAGACCTCTGTAGCTTACCATTTTACAATGTGACAATTACAAGTAGTGTGCGGTAGACATCACACTTGCTGGAAGGCGTCATCACGTAATAAATAAGCTCATGATGTCGTCATCCCGTGATAAAGTATCTCAGGATGTCAGCATAATGCATCTTGCCTTCATTATGTCCTCATTCCGAGAAATATATATAAGGTTCTCATCAAGTCAGATGGCACTTCCAGATGTCCGTATTACATGGATGAAACATATGAGCTAAAAACAAACGTAGTTTTTGCGGTGATAAATCTTGACTTTTTTTCACATAAAAAGTTTTTATGTGCCGGTGGTCAATTATAAACGAGAACAATAGCTTCCTTCCTCTGAAAAAGTCTCACGTATATCACAATAAAGCTTAATATTTTACTATCTTCTAAGTTCTGAGGAATTTTGGTGCTAATCCGATAATTTGTGTGCCCCATCATGACGCGCGCACGAAGGGGGAGGGGGTTGGTCGGTGCCGTTGCGTACACCATACCATGGAGGAAGGATAAGACCTTCCTTCCTCATGACCATACGTACAGAGGGGGTTTCAAGCCAGTGCGTACCGTACGCAAACCGTTTGCCTTGAATCTTCAGCATATCAATACCGACACTTTCTCATGCAACTAAATACCAGAATCAGCTTTTGCACATCGAAAAACCACTCACCGTCACCCACGTCCACCGCACCATTTATCCTCCCCTACAAACACAACCTACACCGCAACATTACTCATGACACAAAAAAGACCGGCAGCGTCTTTTGGGATGCGTATGCAGACGGGGGGGGGGGTGAAGCTACTGCGTACGCCATGTGTACAAAGGGGGAGGGGGTCTGAAAAGTCGGCATTTCGCGCGGGCGTATTTTATGGAAGGCCCGGCACTTTTGATCACCGACGGTTACATAAGCAGCCAAGTGGGCCCACTGCGACCCCCGGCGGGTATATCCTCCACCCATGGAGGGAGCTCCACTTCGTCCAACTTGAAGCCCTGGCGAAGTTATAGGTGTATGCATGGGCGGATCCACCAATGTTTCGGGGGGGGGGTACGATATACAATACTTTAGAGGGCAATATACAGTGGATTTCTTTATTTAACTTTATACAGCCTTGTGAGGCTACATTACGAGCTTTTTACATTGGAGAAAAAGGACAGGAAACTATCGCAATTCGCTTTTAATTACAGTGTATGTTTTTGACTGACCCATGGCTCCACTCCCCGAGGAAACCCACCGACTCCATTTGGAATTTCCCACCAATATTTAAGAATGGGGGGGGGGACCGAGGACCAAGGCAATTTTAGGAATACATTGTATCGTATTTCCTTCCTGGCTTCCAAAGGCATGTAAAAGACCCCCAAACTTTACAGATTACATAAAGAAATCCCCCCTCCCAAAAAAATGGCCACCCTAAAAATCATTGCGGACTGAACTTTTGCTGATGAGCATCATGTGCGCCTAGCGCGCGCCATTCATCTAAAAACATGGACAGGGGTCATCAGCTGTGGGACGGTGACGGGCCGATACGTAACCTTTGTTTAATATCCATTCATCCGGGTTTTTTTTTTAGTGTGGGGGGCACTGATCGAGAATTTGGGGGGGGGGGCCGTGCCCCCCCCGTGGCTACGCCCCTGGTCTGCTTTTGGTCCCGCCGTAGTAGCACCGCTGAACATGATTTTTCAATACTTCGCATTTAATAGTTTAATCAGATTAGTGTTTTCGGCGGGACCGTCGGGATAAGTAAGACGGGCCAAACTTTTCCGCAGAATAGGTGTCGGTTACTCTTATACTGCAAAAGAATCTGTGCTTCTAGTTTCTTTGTTTCTCTTTTTGTAATGAGAAAAAATTCTCACAGTGAACCTAAATGCCCTTTTCTAGCAAAATTAGCGTCACGTCGCCCATTTGCCCCTTCACCTACAACCATTTTGATTATATTTACCACTTCAATCACAACCCTTTTGCCACTTAGCCACTTCACAATATACCCCATCTGCAACTCCGCCCATTTGCCACTTCGGGGGGGCCGGCCACAGACATACATGTATGTCTGATCATGCATGCACTCAGAGTTCATAATGAGATGTGGATTGTTTCACTGATCAAAAAACAAGTTGTGCGGATTGTAAAACCAAAAGATACTGAGATTTGTTGGATACTTTACGAATAAATAATTAAGAATCAACTTGCGCTCTACATGGGCATGGACTAGTTTATGGGAAATTGGGCGAAGTGGTAACTGGGTGGGGTGGCAAGTGGGCGAATTGGATGTGGGCGAAGTGGTAAATGGGCAAAGTGACTGACATCGCGAAAGCAAACAAGGATACCAGACTATTCTACAATCTCCCATCCAAGACCGTTGAAGTCAAGGAACAAGGCAGTTGCACTTTAACTTATTTTTAGCCTGCGATTATGCCCATTCACAGAGAAATATCCGGTCACCTAGTTTATTATTCCATGATATAGGCATTAGGCTAGTACATGTACGTGCTTGCACAAGTTGAAAATGTCTGTTCGTTTCTCAAAAGAAGATGCGACACATAAGCGGCTACTTGCAGAGTATCTGCGGTTATTGCGAACCTATCCAATTATCACAAAATCTCTTACAAGGTAAGCATGGTAAGGAACTACATGTACTTCCTGTGATCATGTTCTGTTTTGCCACCGTCATGACCTACATTTAGCCCAGGTTAGACGCCAGTCTTCAACAAAATTATGCAGTGGTATTAATTTACTGTCGATGATCGATCGTCATTTCAGTGTTTTTCTTTTTGCAGCTATCTTTCCAGGGAGAATTCGGGAGAAAGTCAACCAGAGCATAAAGCTTTACTCTACAGACTAGGTCTAAATCATTGTAATGCTAGGCCTAAATACAAAAATGAAGCGGTTGAAATTGTCTAGAAAATGGATAAATGATTGCTGTTCATTCACAATCAATGTTGGGTGTCCAACATGTCCAATACGAGCACTGGTGACGACTAGGACTTTGATCAACTTGCATCAAATATTGAGGGAACTATCAGAAATATAGAGCCTGAAAAAGTACTGCGCAACCTATATTTTGAGATTCCCGTTGTTGACGATGGGTGCAGACTCGGTGGCACCAGTTGTATTTTGTGACCTTTTGCAGAAATACTCATAGAAAAAGACGTTTTGTCATAATATCCAGATGAATAACTCATAAATATTAATACAAATAATGATTTATTTCAAAGACCAAAGTCACGCCTCACTGTAACTTCAAATTAAATTGAAAAAAATTAAAATCTAGAAAGAGAAAGTGAACGGAAGTCAAGCTATTGCAAATAAAAGTTTTTTCCCCTCAAACTGCATCACTGAACCAAAGTAATTAATGCAAAAAATAATTCCTCATTCAAGAGACATTAACTAGCAGATTTTTCAGAAGTAGGGCATTACCGATATCCCATAAAATGATGTTTGCAACGTACGTGCATGAATAATGGTGAAGTCGGGTTTACTACAGCTGGCCCAACTCGTTGGTTCCACTGACATCTGATGTTCTTCATAACATTAGTCCACGTAGGATTTTAGTCAGACTTTCCACTACTGAAAATGAAGCCATGAAAAAATAAATTCTTCTGGTCAAAGTACAAAGTGCATGAATTATGGATAACTGATGTGTAGACTTCCTAATAACTGCAGCTTGGACTGTCAAAAAACACTGAAATTATGTTACTTCCTGTCACAACTGATGACTGTGGGCCAGTGAGGAAAAGGTTGCTTTTTTAATGCCAGGTCTTTTTTTTTTTAATCTCATCGATTATCTTGATTTTATTGGGATGGCTTAATATAGAAACTCCTCCCCTTCCAAAAAAGGACCAAATTTGCAAGAAAGGTATTGAAGTTACATTAACAATGTTTTGCAACAAAACTAGAAGTAACAGTTCCATAAATGGACACTAGGGAGGCCTTCTAGTTTTCCCATGCAGGAGATTATCAGCCATCAGAAAGTGATAACACATCCGAAAAAGTCAAATTTAGCAGTGACAGTATTGAGAAAACACATAGAATCATTCAGACCAGTCTCATAGGGTTTGTGCACAGGGTATCAAGTGATGCCTTGATATGGCACTCTTTTCTGAAAACTTCACCCACTCTTGGTCGCCATGAGATCACGTTTGCTTGAGTTTAACATGCCACTATATTTTAATGGGGCAAAAAACCCCAACAATGCAAGCTGCTGTATGTTGTATGTGTGCAGAAATTCCAAAGGAACATCCTGGCTGTTTCCACCGTAAGAATGTTAGAATAGTGATAGTGAAGCTTTTGTTTCCCCCACCCCTCTACCAACAGCATCAAACCTGAATCCTTTTTTCTCTTCTGTTGGCAACTAAACCAGGCTATTTGAATTTACTAACAATCACTGTCGAATGTGTAGCACTTCAAAGTAGAATGTGTAGCACTTCAGTGTAGAATGTTTAGCACTTCAGTGTAGAATGTGTAGCACTTTAGTGTAGAATGTATAGCACTTCAGTGTAGAATATATAGTACTTCAGTGTAGAATGTGTAGCACTTCAGTGTAGAATGCATAGAATGTTAAGCTTGTTTTATTTGTAATTGTAATCAAAGGCCTTCTTCAATAGTGAATTGGCTTCGGCGTAAATCAATTTCAGTTCTTTGTGAATTCCAGTGGAGCTATTTCGTCAATCAGCAACATCGTTGCGCAGAAGCTGACAGGAGGTTGGAAGAGGCCCATAGATTGGAGAAACATTGGAGCCTTTGCTGCCACTGGGTGAGAGAACAAGAATGCCCCTCCACACGTGCCTGTACAAGCAGCTGGGGGGCTGGGCTGGTCGAGATGCTGTGGGAATTTATTGTCACTTAATTGCTTCCAGAAAAACAAGGATTATCCAAAGTCATCTCTTAATTGCTTCTCAAACCTTTTATCCCAAATAAAAGTATTCTTTGTGATGGTGAGGGTATGAAATAGCGAGTACACAGAGGAAAGAGATAAAAATGAGGCACCATACAATGAGCTGAAAAATACCACCTAGCTTTTCAAAATGGATAGTACGTACATGTACATATAGCTACAGTAAGTAACCTGCATGAAAGGTTAAGCCATTGAAGCGCACACTAAGCTGTGCTTCCTTGCTTCTTCCTTCATCAGCATTGTCACCCGAAAGGGTTTTGAACCCATAAATACTCAGAGCTTCCGTAGCCCCCTTCCTGTAAGTGCTAGTCACTTGCCTGAAAAAAGTGGCGTAAATGGCAAAGCAACTTTCTTTGTAGGGCCGAATCAATTTGAATAAGTCACTATTTGAATATTCGACTTTCAATTTGATTAAATATCTGAATATTCAGTCATACTGACCGGCAGATTGTTGATAAACAAACCATATATAAAATCAGTTGCAATAACACGCACAATTTTACATCATAAGCACTGTAATAGCTTCTTAAAAAGAGGAGTATCTACAGCCACGATTTAGCAAAATTTAAGAGATACTTCTTGCTTTGTTGAAAATTTCTATTCCTTTTAAATTTTTTAATGAATAATTGACTTTTTGAATTGTAAGATTTCTGTCGCTTTTCATTTAAATCTGCTTGAAGCAAGTCTCCATAGTGCAACTTCTCTCATTTAAAATGAAAGAAAATTCTGCCTTCCTTTTCGTGAATTTTGCATTTAAATATTTAAATTTGGAAACAAATATTCGATAATCGATCGAATATTCAGATATATTTACAGGATATTCACAACCTTATTTCTTTGCTCATTTGGCAGCAACTCCCCGTACTGAACAATCATGCATGTTTAGAGCTACATGTATACAACTCTACATTAAATAAATTCCCACGACAGTCAACATTCTGTCAAGGTTCCAGTAGTTCACTGAGGGGGGTCAGCATTTGTCTTTTTTTTTTCAGTGTTATCTCTCTGCCAAGGTTCATAGCCCTAGATATTATTGACATAGTAGATAAACACAGTAGATAAATGTGTTGTGTTTAGCGAGTCCTATAATATCAAGCTTGTGAAACTTTGGAATAACAAAAACTGTGTACCTTTAAGACCTGTTCTCAAAGAATTAGATCTTCCTGTGGCTACTTTTTGTGAATGCATTCTTTCAGTACCATAATTGTGCTCAGCTACTCAAGCTAAGACATTAAAATTGATATGAAGCAACAGGTGCAACCTTTCTTGGTGAAGTCTTCTGTCACAGTTTTACCCAGGCATAATAATGATGGTACACATTAATTTGAATCGTAACTTTTGGAGTTGAGAAACTAAAAAAAAAAAAATGCTTGCTATCACAAAAAGCATGACTGTCCATTGGTTCTTTGTTGCAGCGTATTTTACACTGGACCCGTCATGCACAACTTCTATCGATGGCTGGAGGCTATTGTACCAGGCAAAGACAAAACCTCTCAAATCTTAAAGGTCATCTTTGACAGACTGTTCATCGCTCCTCCTTTCCTGCTGGGATATCTCTACCTCATCAGGAGGTTTGAGGTGATTTTAGATTCAGATGCATTTTCAGGCCTGCATGTACTTACGTAAATTTGTGGTTCTTGAAACACTCCCTTTTTAACTGAATAGTTTGATAGTTCCAAGCGTTGTTCTCTTCATGAAATAAGTTAATAAGTTTTAAGTTCTTAATACATGTACATGTAAGTTCTCAATAAGTTATACATGCAAGTTCTCCACAGAGCCTTATAAAAATCTTTGCTAGTCATTTGGTGTCATCCATTCACTCCCAGGGCAAAACTCACAAGGTGGCCGTGGAGTTCCTCAAGCAGGCCTACTGGACAGTTCTCAAGCTGAACTGGAAAGTCTGGACCATCATCCAGTACATCAACATCAACTTTGTCCCACTTCAGGTCTGTGATCGAGATTACACATAGCCTGATAGCATGTAATGTGGGGGTAAACTTTCAACTCGTGTGTTCACCTTTTGGCACTGTGGGAAGCTGCTTAAAACAAGTTCATGTATTAGCAGTGATTCCTGGTAAAAAAAAACATGCACGTTATATGTGTGTACTGTATACAAGTCCTCAAACTATACCGAGTCTGGCACTGTCGTCAAGCCAAGTTTTGATCTCGGAGTCAAAAACCCCAAGTCGTGCAAAGAAATGGAGTCCAGAGAGTAACCTAACATTCTGAGGGGCAACAAGTAACAGTGTTTGGATGCACTTCTCGATAATTACTCCGCGTGCTCTTTTTCCCTTCGTATTCAGTACCGAGTGATCTTTGCCAGTGCTGTTGCCTTCATCTGGACACTCTACATAGCTGTAATAAGCGGGAGGTAAATTGACCCCCACAGAGAAATCATTCAGCTGCATCAGGGAAAGGCCATCGTTTTGAGTTGTCCGAGGCATTCCTGTGAGACAGTATGAAGCATTTATCAAGCGATTTCTACATGTGCCTGTATCAGAAACTTTGCAATTTGCCAATGAGAACGATTGTTTGCCATAATTCCGAGTGTGATTTGGGCCGATCGTGAAGAAAACTGAAGAGTTGTTAGCAGTGACAATTGGGATTGCAGTTAGTGCCATCACATTGCATATTGGGGATACATTACTATAACAATGTCATAAACCTACTGGTGATTGTAAATGGTGCATATTTTTAAAAAGCAGATAGGGCTTTACATGGGCACCGGAGCTAGCAAATTACAGTTTCTGCTATGTGTCTTCACCTAAATTTTGCTCCCAAAGTGGATCAGTTGAGTGTACTGACTTGCTTGACCTCCCCGATATACATTTGACGTTTCTTTACATGACAAAACTTTTGTATGATCTTCTACCCTATTTACCATTTTATCATTTTATTGGTTTTGGAGCACCACTGCCTTCTATTGTACCAAAAATATGAGATTTCTATTTTCAGTCAGCCTACATTCCATGTCTATATGTGCGAGTACTACAAACAATTCACTTTTTAAATCAATTGCCCTTCTCAAGTTTGAAAACAGCCGCACAAATATCTCCACTGACCCGTCCGAACTGCAATGATTCAAATTTAAATATTTGCCACCAAACCTGTTGCTCTCGAGATTTAGAAACTTAGTAAAAAGGTGAAAACTCGCATGAATTTTCTACCTTTTTAGTTTTTGTTTTATTAGAGGAACTCCCTGTGGGCTTGGCAACAAAAGTTCATTTTGTAAAGGTGAATCCTGGATTTCATGCATTCTTAAATGATGCTTACTCGTTAATACCATTAATAATTCTAGAAAACAGATTTGTGAGTTAACCTATTCACTTCCAGAATAACGAGGTGGCATTTTTCAAGATTTGTATTCTCTATATGCTTTTGATTTCCACATATTGTATCAAAAAACATCCAGTGTTTTCTATGAAAATGTAATAGAAAATGTATTTTTTGGTAAATGTAAACGAAGTGTATATTGCTGAATCGCAACAAATATATTCAATCAGTATGACGAAGCACTTTTCCCTAGATTTTCAAAGAGTTGTGCATTGACTGTTTAATTTGATGAAGTGGCGCTGAATGAAAAGTTGATTCAACTTTTATTTTTAAGATTAGAATGACGAAAAATTGTGTTATTTCAATTCTGATTTAATTATGCAAGTCATTTGTGATTATTACAATGGGTAGACACTACAAAGATAAAAGAACATCCACAAGCATAAAAAAAGACAAGAAATACATGGTGATGTTTACAGTAAAATGTAAAGAAACTTTAAAAATGACAAATTGGTAGAACGGATAAAAGCAAATCAAGTCTGCTTTAGAGAAATTGACGTGGCATATTTCCTTTTGGCTATTTCGAAATCTGATACAAATGTTTGAGCTACAAAACCCTGAAAGTTTTTCAAATCCCCAAATTTGAAACTGATTTTTCACACACCCTATGGGGGTTAGGGCTAAAAAGTGATACAAGCTGATGGCGAAATGAATTCGTATGCTAAGAAGGGGGGTTCGCAAGACCACAAAAATTACAGTTTATTTCCTAAATAGCCTGAATTAGGCTTTGGAAAACACTTCTGTCAATTCTGTCCCGAAACTACCCCACTTCCAATAAAATCCATCCTCCCACCTGGGGGGGGTTCAAATAAGGGGTGTAAAATGCAGGTAGTGACTAACTCTTGATAACCAGAGCAAGAATCCCTTATTAAATTTCTATTGGGCTAAAATTCTGAGGAAAAGGAACCCACCATTCATACTGTTAACAATATGTCCATGTTTGGGTCAAAGGAATGGAACTCTACAAGCTAGTCGACTACGTTATGCCTCTTATTTACAATCTGGTATTGCTTTAATACACTGTAGCAACCATACACCCCTACGGCAGCGACCGACAGGGCGTCGGCATTGAAAAACTGTCATCTCTTCATAATCATCTCAATCATCCAGCTGACAAAAACAAGCTCAGCCTGATAAAAACCATCCATTCAAAACGCTGTACAAGATTTGATTTTTCATTTTTAGAATTACACAGACTTGCAGAAATATTTCTTGAGCTGCCTAAAAGAACTCAAATTCTTTCCTCAAAAAAACTTCCTTTTGGAAAAAGGAAAGAAATTTTGGACAATCAACGTTGCTGGTTTATTCAAAAGAAATGCTGGATATTTCCTGTTCACGTTACACATAATAAACTTCACAGAAGTTTCTCTTTTTAAAAGGAAAAAATGGTCACCAAATTTATTTACACTAAAATGCTCTCCAGAAAAGTGTTACTAAACAAACCATCATTTGAATGCAACACACCGCATACTGTATAGCACATTTCCATAACCAAGTTTAGAAGTTACAATTTCAAATTATTCCGACACTTTTCCATCAATTACTATTATTGGATTTTGGCATTTCTGATGCTTCCTGTATGACAAAGGCAGACAGCGCACCCAACTCAACACAAGAACGACCCCGGTCATTTTTAGTCACTTCTGAGAGCAGCTGCAAGTTGGAAACTTTCATTTTTAAACAGACAGGCCCCTCTTCGTACCCCCTGCTGAATCAAATAAGCATGTCACTGCTCACACAGCAAAGTGTAGAAAGGAATGTATCAGTAATTGGTCAACAATAACGTGCCCACACTCTAAATAAATAATAAAAGATGACAGCTATGCTATTCTGCTGCATGTTTGACATGAATACATCCTGACGTTTCATTTCAGGCTTTCTTTATTTTTTGCACAGGTCCCGGTCTGTGGTGGCATCTTTCTGAGTTCAAAGTTTAAACAGAAATAACAAAAGAAACTCTCACACTCACTCAAAACCAACAGCTTAAAATGCACAAAGGAACCACATTCCATGCTGGCAAATTCAGAACTCAGAAAGACACCAGGGTATCAAAACAATGCCACATTTGAAGTTTGCACGCTCAATTTTCACAAGAAACAAAACTTGTACCTTGGCAAGAATAAAAAGACTATCTCATCTTGCACAAGTCAAGAATTCATCCTAAACATTTAATTCCAAAGTATGTCATCCCATTCTGAGAAATGTGGGCCCAATTTCTTTAATTTCAATTCAACATGGCATTTTTCAACCATCTCATAACTACTTGTTTTCTTCAGAAAATTGAGCATGAAAATAACATTACCAGCCCACGGAAACATTAACTCATCCCTCTGAATATTCAAACGACGCTCAAAGTTCTCCAAATGCTAACTGGCTATCTCAATTCAAACATACGTCAGAGATGAGTTTTTTCCAAGTTTTTTCTGTCTGGTAATGAAAGCTAAGACAAAAAAACACACCAAAGGCCGGCTGTCACCGCTCGTAGCTGCTACGACTGTAGTAGCTCCGGCTGCGACTGCCAGACCGCGACCGGGACCCTGTGGGGCTGCGGGAGGGGGTCCGTGAGGGGGACCGGCTGTAGGAGTGGCTGTCATAGGAGAAGTATGAGCTCTCGCTGGTGGAGGGGCTGGGGGCTGCTGGTCGATGGTATGGAATGGGCAGCTTGCGGGCGCTGGTAAAAAAAGAGAACAGATCGAAAACAATTGTAAGAATCTACAGACATATTTCATTTAGTGGTAATCATAGCCAATGAATCACAGCAAATGCATACTTTGTGTAGCGAACCAGTTTTTTTAAAATTTGAGTATGTCCTCGGGGGGAAAAAAAATTTATTTATGCATGCCAGGGGTGGAGCAAAACAAATCACAATGCCGAGTTGCTTTCCTTTATTCCTTTCTTGAGTGTCAAGTTCCAAGAAAATAACTTCATTGTAATATATTTAGTTTCTCTCTTATACCAATTAACAACCTCTGTATCTGAACTCCCCTTCACATGCGATTAATCAAAGTTGGGAACAGCAAGAAAGCATCCTGGCCTTGGATTAGACAGCTGCTTCACAGGAAATACTGGCTTGGCCAAATTTACTGTGTGTCAAGTTCTTTAACTGCTCAGCAGAAATGAGTTAGAAAACCAGTCAATGAGCAAAGAAAACACCAAATCCTGTTGGCTGGTGCCCACCATCTACTGAACATTTTCTGCTAACTACCGCTTTTGCCAATTTTTTTTTCTCTTTAAAACTGAACCCTGGGTTCCACACACAATTTGATTATATAGGATTATTAGGACGAGCAAAAAGGGTGAGTTAAATGCTGCCATGAGGGTTGAAGCTGTGTCTTGAGTTAACGAGTTCTAACACAGTGCAAGGGTCAAGAGAGCTGATGATCTGTGAGTGACTTGGCAGTAGCTATTGATGAAATCTTGATTTATACGTAGAACGAGATGGCTAACAAGTTAGTCAAAGCATGTGTGTTGAGAAGCAAAACGTTAATTAAGGCTGTAACGAAAATGAAACTTGGCAGTTAGTATATGGTGTTAACAATGAAGAGCTCATGTTGGGGCGGCTTATGCCAAGCTGCTTCTCAGAAACTCAGTGCTGAGTTGAGTATGAAAAAAAGCTCACTTGGTGAGAAGAATCATTAACATGAACAGTAGTGGAACAGTGCAATAACAAACACATCCAATGGAGTAATCTTTTCTTCTCTTCTCTGACAATGTCACAATATCTAAAAGCATGTCATGGGTCAGACCACTGAATTATCTCTGAATTTCTCCTCCCTTCTGAATGTAGTTTGTTACTGCCGCGGCCCGCTGCAATTTTCAAAGGTTTTGCATTGTAACACAGCAAAACGGGGTTAAACAAACAAGTGAAGACGAGTAATGGTTACAAATTCTTCAAGAATGGCAAGTGACCTGCAGGGAAACAAAGGTGGTTACTGAGTTAATGCATGATAGAGACAGCAACGAGATGCACGTCAGCTGATAGACAGCACCCAGCAGGTTGTTTTCTGGTCAGCAACCGTATCAAAAGTTGTTATTTCACAGCACACTTGGGAAGTGAACCTTGGGTGTTGGAGTTAAACCTACTAGCTACATGTACGTGCACTTCTCTTTTTGAAGTAAAAGGGGCTGTTGCTTCTAGACTCAAAACTCCTTTCATGAATTGTGCTTAGATGCAAATGGTTAGTGCAATTTTTTCACAAATTTCTCCACAGAAACTATCCAAATTTCTACTTTCAATGCTATTCTGTAAAATGTTCAACTAACATAAAATTGTATTTGAGCAAATCAGATCCACATTAATGTTAGAATATGTTCTCTCTAATTCAAACTTGAAGGTTAATTGATCAAAATAAATGCATGTCCTTAACTCTTCAACAAAACATCTTAAAACAGGTAGTACTGTTAGTGTGGGTGACAAGGTGCAGTGCATGCATAGTAAGGTGTGAAAACACGATCAGAATTTATGGCCCTAAACAATGACACACCTGTCTCCGATACTCATACAAGAACATGCAATATGTAGGAATGGAAGAAAAGATGACACAGACAGAGACATTCTGGTATGAAACCTGCACTGGTTACCCTAATCATGATGAAGACTTGCAGGAATGCGGAAGACAGAGAACTCCATGCACGGGGAAAAGAGGGAGCCCTGGTTTACCGAGCACCAGAGCTGTATACAGAGAGAGTAGCATCGACTTCGGAACCAAAATGGCTGTTCATTATGTGCGCAGGACAGCATGCAGCTACTGTGTGCTGATTGTCCACATGCACTGACGCACATTCCACCAATTTGACACACTCACGTCGTAACTCTCTCTGTAAACAGCTCTGCCGAGCGATGGCCTTCCTCAGGGCGACACAACATTTGTATGTGCTCATTCACCCAGCATCCATAGCATGCAGGAGTGTCTTTTGAACAGGAGCCCCGACTGCTCTACACCAATGACAGGCTGTACCGGAATCATTTGACGGCAGCCTGAAATTATGCCTAGGTCTGTAAATAGTGGCTGCAGCCAATTCCCATAGAGTCATGGGTAATTTCAAGCCGCGCGCAGTAATTTGGACACAGCTACACTCAGTATCTCCCCAGCCTCTTAATGGCGTCAGTTTGTCATTAATTCTATGCTGACAGCAAAATTGCAGCATAGATTTAAACACGACTGAATCTCATTTCAGATTGTAATAAAAGTTCATTACTATTCAAGATTCTCCTAACAGAGAAGGCAAAAGTAGTAGTACTTAAGCGTGGTAATGCTTGGTGAAGGGCTGCCTCTGAGACCCAAAGAAGATTTAGAGAAGGCAAAAGTCGCAGTAATTAAGCATGGGCTGCTTTTGAGACCCACAGCACGCTGCCCTGTGCTGCAGTGCACGCACCATCAAAACGGTAGCACTGACCTACAGAAGAAATTTGGAGGCAACACAGATGCCATGGCAGTAACCTTACACCAACTGCATCAATCCTATCTAGCTTTACATGTCACAAGACATGGGTGCCCTCTTGCCTCCCCCCCCCCAAAAAAAAGTTTAGATGCTACTTTTATTTTAAAAATTGCACTGAAAAAACTTCCAGTTCCTAGTTCTTTGCAAAATAAAATTTTGTATGTTAGCTCTGAAATATTAATGCAGAATTATCCTTGCCAAATTTGACCCACAGACTTCATTGTGAGTAAAATCAATGTCTACGTGTACTTACATACAAATGCCAGGAAGTGGGCATGCAATGGCTGAATGACTACAAGAAGATGCAATGCATGCAGTTATGTTGTATACAAGCAGCTAAATTAATTCTTGACTCATGAATATGAATGATTGACAGCCCAGCACCAGATATGTTAATGCATGCTGAACATGATGTAAACAAGGAAACTATTATGTCATGCATGAATGCATACAGTTTATATGAAGGGATCACACATAGCTCATGAATATGCACATGCAGTAACCACACCCAGAATGAAACTTCTTGCCTATGTTGCACAGAACCCGTTTTCCATTAAAATAACCTGCATGCTCTTGAAACTGGGACTTCCTTCCCCGAAGTTTGTAGCTTTTGGCTCAAGGTTTAGTTCCAGCTTCAACTTTAACATTAACTTGACCATTCAGGTTAAATATGCACAATGAACTGAAAATAATCTGCAACGGTACTAAATGGTAATGCATGCAGGCATGTTGAAAGAGACAGAGCGGGCGTGACAGCACTGCAGGGATTCTGTTTCTCCCAGTTTGGGGACGTATTGTACACACATGCATACCAGTAACTCTGCCACAACACTGGTTTCGATTCTGAGCTTCTTTCAACACTGGAGAGTGAAATAATACGTGTAGATCTCTACCAACATTCGTGTCCACTGTATGGCAATGAACTGTAAATCAATGGTTGTTAGTTGCGCTGAATTACATGTATTAATGGCAATGATCTTCCAGGCTCAAGCATCAAAACGTGGAAGTACAGCATTGTAAAAGTCGGCAAGATTCTTGCAAGATGCTTAGGAATGGAGGCAATCAAACTTTGTATTAAGCCGGCAAATCCAAGATGGTGGATTCAGCCCATACACACATCTGTTTGGGCTGTTGGCATCCTCCAATGGTTTGCGTTTATCGACGATAGCGATCCCGCCCTCTGGATCGGGATCGGCTGCGGCTGTAGCTCCGGTCTCTCCTCCTGTCGCTGCTGTCGTAGTAATAACGGTCGTCCCTGTCCCTAACTGGAGACCTTTCATGTGCAAAATATCAAAGCGTGAAGAGAGAGAGAGAGAGAGACGCAAAACAAAGGGCACAAATGACAAGACAATGAAACCATGCAACGCCATCACCACTGACAGAAATAAATGCCGAACAAATGGCAAATGCATTGACCATGGAACTACATGTACAGCACCATTCCACAATAAATCTTTGATCACATTTTTTCACAGTGTACACAATTTTCACTGGCAACAGATAAAATGCACAGAGATACTGTACTCGCCATGCGCACTGTCCCAAGGAACAAATGTACCGGTACACAATATTAGAACTCACGCCCAAAGGTGTACGAAGTAATGATAAACACAGACCCTAGGGGTAATTTCTATCTGGATAATATTAGAACTCACGCCCAAAGGTGTACGAAGTAATGATAAACACAGACCCTAGGGGTGATTTCTATCTGGATAATATTAGAACTCACGCCCAAAGGTGTACGAAGTAATGATAAACACAGACCCTAGGGGTGATTTCTATCTGGATAAACGCACTCCAAGTCACACAATGTGCTTTCACTCCTCCTGGTGCAGTCTAGTGTGCATACTCAGTGTGATTGTTACACAAATAAATCCACTCGTGACAAACCTGTGGAGTTGTTTATCAGGGCTACGGTGGTCTTGACAATTGTTTTGGTTTAGGCAGTGGCCAGTACAGGAAATTATACTACCCAGCTTGAGTAAACATTCTCATACAAAGCAAAGGTTCATATTTTGTCAGAAAACGTTGGAAACGTATCATTTAAAAAAAAAATAAAACTGCAATGCTTAAAACGGGTCCTTCTTTTTGTCTTTTTTCAATGTGAAAAAAATGCATCTGCACGTAATTAGCTCACTCCATAATTGCCATGATAGACTCAAGACAGCTGCTGGATGCAAGCTATATTACCCCAATCAAACATGTACAGCTAGAAAAATTAATGGCTCTTGTTGGCATGTTGCCAAGTTTGAAATGTACCCGTCTGTTATTTATACACTCTGATCTGGTTCAGGAGTGCAAATGTGCACCCTGTGGTGTGACACTGCAGAGGGGGAACCTAAGACAACAGGCTGCCAAGAGTCTTCAAGTCAAAGAACTCGGGATCAAATCATTTTACATTCTGCTCAAAGAAGGGCCACGTGAACCTCTGACCCATGATCTCACCCATACCTGGTTATCCTCCGGCGATCCAGAAAGCTCGGGGAGTTCCGTCGCTTGCGGATGGGCGAGAAGTCCTTCCTCTTTTCGCCATCAGCAGGATTCTTGGAGACGCGACTCGGCGATGGGGAGCGTCTCGAGTAGCTCGGGGAGCGCGACCGGCGTCGGGAAATCGGAGTCCGAGATCTCGTTCTGAAATATTCCAAAAAAACCCACAAAGAGCATGTTTGAGAGCCTGACTACTACATGTAAGTATCAATAGTCTTAACTCCTGTTCTTTAGGTGCAGACTTTAAGTCGGCAGGATATGCCAATACCCTCCACACAAAAGGCGCTGAGGAAGTCGGTACCTTTTCAGCAAAGATTCCCAGTGGAGTGAATCGCAAGGTACCATTTGCATTTCAGAGGATAACCTTGGCGCATCTTGCGGTGTGTGAGAGCCACACTGTTGAAGCATTTCAGCAGTAAAGCGTGGGACATTCACTCCGGGTGATTCACTGATTTGGAAGATGCTACATGGTGAGAGTTATACAAGTCTTCGGTAAGACAAATGTTGCTGTCTTACACTTTCTGATGACTCACAGTCCAACTGATTTGCTGCCAAAGTGTCAAACAATTACAAGAGAAAACCCAGCATTTTTTTGCATAAGTACACACATACTGTCTTTATGTCTGCCATGTAACTCAATCCTTTTCATATCAGGATAGAGAGATTGCACTGAAAGTTTTTTCAGTGGTTCTTTGCCATGTTAAAGGAGCCATTACTGAGTACCAGCTGCAAGGCCTCTATGCAACCCTACAACTGAAGACATTTATACAATTTTGACACTGGCATGTGCTTCTAAAACTCAGCTTTCATATCATTCTAAATTCTTAGTTTCCATTCAGACATGAACACAAATACGTTTCACAATTTGTTTCTGAACCAACTCTACTGAGGTAACAATTTGCAGCTACATGAATTCACAATCACATGACTCTTTAATTCTCTTAGGACTACTCACCTGCTACGACTCCTTGAGCGTCTACGAGGGGTCGGGCTGCGAGACCGACCTCTACGAGCCGGCGACCTGCTGTATGATGAAAAAAAAATGACAAAGTCAGGCTCCCTTGTCACATGAGCAACTAGGAAGAGAGGAACTCCCCTCTCCTTCTAAGTAAACTACCCAGGTTCAAATCCACCCTGATACCTTTCATACTAAAACTACATGCCAATTTCACAATGCTGATTTTGTGCTTGTTTTGGTCTGTGTATTTCTTCAGAATCATTTCTCTGCAGGTTTGACTGAATTTCTGAGCAAACTGTTGCCGGGTTTAGCTGGTAAACAGTTTGCTACGCTTGTGCTTTGACTCGTGCACGGATCTGCATGTGCGTGCTTGGTAAACAGCAAAAAAAGAGTGGCTGGCACATGACGGTCACCGGATTAGTGTGAATTCGGCTCTCCATCATGAATATGAATGAGGCATGGTAATATCCCTTGCTTTGTTTAGAGAAATCCCTGGCTCCATTCCAGCCATGTCTGTTTCGTGTCACATCTTTAAATGTATTGACATGCATTTGATACCTGATGTCCCTCCGCCGCTGGGATCGGTCTGAATCCCGCTCCCGCGGTGATTTCCTGGGAGTCGGGGATCGTGACCTCCGCCTGTGGCTGCCATTGCGGGTGGGGCTGTCCGAGGACCGGCGGGACCTCTTGCGGGAGTTGGACCGGGACCTGCGGGACCGACGTGGCGAGGGGCTGCGGGAGCTTCGGGAACAGAACAGCAAAACAATCAACCACAATGGATACGTAAGTGCATGAGCAGGTGTGGGTGTTATTTGGCACACTTAGAGGACCCATGGATGGGCACTCTCTTGAAACTTGAGTACCTCCCACGTCAAGAGAAGCATCTTATGGCATTAAGAATGTGTAGACAATTTAAAATTGAATGTGCACAAAAATTCTTGCAGTCGATGCTCACTTGAGCCCTGATACCCTTAGAAAAATGGTGCTGAAATGGCCTCAGTCTGAGTCAATGCACTCATATGATACTAATAAGACTTTAGCAAACTACAGCGTGCTATGATTTGGTGTAGAGTGACAGTGTAAGAGTTCACCTTTGCATTTTGTGCAAGCCTTGTTAACTGAATCTGGCACCAAGTCTTCCAACAGCTGTTACGGCACCAACAGTGGAAAGGGACCTTGGGTACAACTAAACTGTTGAATACACCATAATTGCAGTGGAATGTCCGGAGGGGGGGTGCAAGTTTCCCCTGGAGACATGTTGGAACTTCTTCTTTCTCAGAATTCAAAGCCCCGGCATTTTAGAAACAGCACAATCACCTTTCTATGGGGGAGGATTCTTTTCTGGAAGAAACAATTTGGACAAATATTTTAAGAAAAATTTCCAATCCCCTTCCCCGATTGAAGACCTGGACATGCCACTGGGCAGCCGTACTAGATGCCCCAGAAGAATGGAACATATTCATGCGTCGTTTGTCTTGAATAGAAGTGAGTTAAAAACTGTTTATTTGAGAACCGGAGAGTAGAAACGAAAGCGACAAAATAAAGTTCAAACAAATTCATGCCAGTTTTCATGTTTTTAAGCCATACAAAGCGAAAGTGAGGTTTGGAACCCCAAATAGTCCGAGACCGCTCATTTGACAGATTGCACTGAAACTGATAGATTCAGGGAGCATGACAAAAAATGGTTTCCCATGAATAAGGTTTATTGATCAGACTTTACCTCCCGCTGTCGGAGTCAGAGTAGTAGCTGCTGTCAGAGCTGTAGTCAGACAGCGAATCGCTGTAATGGCGGTGACGATGGCTCTTCTTGTCCCCATGATCAGAGGACCTGACAGAAAAAACACCAAGTTGAGAGGCCTCCGGTTATGAACCATGGCACTGATAGCTACAAACTGCAAAGGACTGAACAGTACTTGTTGCTGGGAACTGACTGCTTAAAAGAGGCTGACAGACTTGATTACCATTTTTACTGACAAATATATTTTGAAAAACCATCTCTTCAAAATACTGGTTCCTGAGCATAGAGGACCTCTTTGGAGGGCTGATTTACACAAAAACGATTTACAGATAACAAAATGGCTGACATTTCATGTCATGCACCTTGCGTTTTTGCTGCTGTTCAATTCAATCAGGATTTCTAGCAGGAAATAAGACCTTGTTCCCTGAATCTGATCTACTGCTACTGGTCCTGCATGTACTCCAGTTGCTGATACGTGTAAAGATTCACAACTCTTTTAAGAGTCTCTGTGACCAAGTTATCAATGTAAATTCAATGCCGGTGCATTTTTGTCACCAAGTAAATGAGTTTTACTCACTTTCTGCTTCGGTGCTTCTTATGTTTACGTTTGGAACGACTACTGGACCTGCCGCGATTAAAGAAGAAAATTGGAAATTTTTCTCAACGTACAGGTACCAAAAATGCTGTTATCGCAATATACATGATGATTTGGACAGGGTTACTGAGATCAAAGCAGAGAAAAAGACCAAGACATCCAAACACAAAAAGAGATAATGTACTGGGGTAATTGACATGGATTAGGTGTACTACATGTGGACACATCCCTGACTGCTTAAGCTGCCTCTAGCTGATACCAAGAGGTCTGTTCTGTTGAGACACCAAGCATATAGTCCTGGTTGAGAAAGACACCTGCTTATAAACCAGTCGTTTACAATTTTAAACATGCAGCATCATTCTCATCAAGATTCAAGTTTAGTCGTTTTACCACTTTCTGAGTGACCATTGTCCAATTCCTGGCTGAATGGAAATTACCCCAGCCGGTTATCGCCCAGAAGACATGAACCATGTCAACATGCATTCTACACTAGCTAAAAGCAGAGAAAGAAGAACTGACACCCAAGTGTTACACTGGCATGGATAAACTAGATTCAGCTCAGCTGCCAGGGATGATACTGTGTAAATTGGACTGCCCTTTAAAACAAGAAGTTTTGTGTACGATACACACAAATACATGTACAGATGCAAAGTGGTTATGTGATTGAAAGTGCAACAGCTAACAAGCAGAGTATGAGGAAACTGATCAGAAGTTCTCCTTAAACACAGTGACCTTTTGTCACTTTCATGCACGATACAAAACGCAAACAGTTTCACAGCACAACAGAGCGTTCTGTGTTTCATCCGATTCACCGGTACAAAAATTGGGCATGAATAAATGCCTGTGCATGAGTGAACGTAACAGTGTGGTACAGCTTACCCAAAGGAGTGAATAACTCAAGAATGATTTCAGGTGCCGATCACAAGATGCGCATTGAATGGCAGAAAACGTGAGGCAAAATAATGAGCAGGAAATGGAACGGCTAACAACACTGCAGAATGACACCATCTGCGTAGGAATATGATGTACATGTGTATCTGTATGTTTGATTGGGGGGCAGGGTGATTTCAGGTACATGCAAAAAATCTATTTTCACCAGAACTTGGCAAGACAGCTGCTGTAAATACGCATCCCTTTACATGTATTTGTATGTACACTACAAATGAACACAAAGGGTGCATACAGTTGTTTAGAAAGAGGGTTGGGTACATAAGAAAGTTGTTGAAACAGCGCGAGTGAAAAGAGGGAAAGATGCACTGCAAATTCAGACACGTGTTGGTGTACAAATCCATGCTATTTAATCAGGAAACTGCTCTGCATAAAACACTCATGCGTGAAGACTGCCAATCACAGCTTGGACCTGTTTTGCTGATTCTGTTTCAGACAGCACTGCATGCAACGCTATAAATGTGCAAAGGGTTGGAAAAAATGACATCAAATGCTTGACACAAATCACACACTTGTGAAACTCGGACACGTCCGTATCAACTCTAAATACCTGTGCTTTTTACTCTTTTTTCCTGATCTGAAGGCAGCATGGTTAACGTGACAGGGAAAGATGGGGAAAAAGACAACTGTTAATGATGAGGAATCAACGCTGCACCTGAGTCTGAAGACCAACAAGAGCTCTCGGGCTGTTTTTACAAGTGAACTTGGATCAAGCAGCTCAGCCTACCCTGGCTTAGTGGGTGTTTGAACCGGCTTAGCGGCAGTTCAACCCATGTGAGGACAAGATGACAGAGGGGAGGGGGGGTCAGTGAAGGTTGAAACACGTCTCAGTTTGGATGACAAAGTTAATAACACAAAAACACTGAGTGACAAGCATAAGACATATCACTATTAGAAGTGCAGTGAGATGGAAAAAAAAAATTAGCAAGATAAAAAAAGAAACCTACTGTCTCATACACTTTCTTTTTTACCTACCACAAGTTTAGTTTTCAGTCCAACACCACATTATCAAACCCATTTAATGAGGCAATGATGTGGGCAATAGGGAAAGGGTGTCAGGGTAAATGCACAGAAACTAAAATGGACAGGTCAAAACTTAAGAAGCAAAACCTTTTTTTCTAATTGAAAAACAGACAAAAGTCGAAGGCCATTGTGAGGAAACGTCTGAGCACAAACTGTTTCAACCAAAAAGATAACAGCACAGGCATGGAATGCTGAGGCCAGCTGACAAACCAGGCACATGTACAATGCTTCTGCCATTTCACCATACTAGTAGTCAATTTTTCAATTCAGTTGCTGAAATTCCACACGTCATTCTGCAAGGTCAAAACTGCAGAGAGGCCACACTGCTGTCTTAAAATGGTACACCAAGTACAAAAGGTGTTCACAACCTTCAGAAACTGCCTTGGGAAGCACGCGTGGTGAAAAACTTGTACATGACACACTGCCCAACATGCACAAAAACAAAATATGATACTCCAGATTCGGTTGCAAAAAGATTTCGATATTCACAGAAACACTCCGGAGAGGAATTCCCGTTTTTAGCTGCTCGGCCTTTGGAAAAATCTTGACGTAATATGGAATCAGTTTCACAGCTTCATTACGAACTTGCAACGCACAGAAAAGGTTTGCTTGGGCAAAAATTCTGGAAGAAATTTCTCCATTCTGCACAAAAAATTCCCCAGCTTATCAGAGAAAATGTGCCAGGTTGCAGAAGAGTGGTTCTCATTTGATTTTTCCACAAAGGAAGACTTAATGAGAATAAAGCTAGCGGGAAGCCAACGAGTGCTAAAATCACTGCACGGAGAAAAATGACTGAAGCATCTTGTACATGGTTTGCCTTGGCACAATACCAAGTTGGTCATGACAGAACAGCACAGTGATGCAAGCCAAGAAAAGACAAGAAAAAAACGGCAACAATGAAAAATGACTGCTGAGCATAACAAACACGTTATCAAAGAATCAGTGATGCATTTGAAAAAAAAAAAAGTGCAAGGTGAAAGTATAGTGTCAGTGGTTATATTACCTTGGGTCTACTAGCCTGCGCAGGCTGTTTTTAGTACGCTCCGGTATAGATGAAGATAGAGCGACAAAATAACAAACATGCACACGTGATGAGGGTGGGTGGTTTTGGTTTCGATTCCAATTGTCAAAAAATGCCAACCAAGAACAAAAAAAATCAGTAAATAAAAATGAACAAAATCAAAGAAGGAAGAAGTCTGTGTTTGTGATTTCAACTTGACAACAGAAAATACCGACAGCTCAGAATTTGCGAGGATGAATACCATTGTGGTGCAAGGTTGTCAAGGTTTTACCGTTCGTGAAGTCAGAATTTGACTTGACCAAGTCAGCCAGGTTTTATGATTAACTGATAAAGGAGTCGGAATTAGACATGTCCAAGTCAGGCAGGGTGTAACTTGACTATTCCTACAGTGTATCTCTGCTCCAGTCAAGAAAACTCAACCGCGCGTGCTAAGCACTAAATAAAACTGTGCGGCTATGACCGAGTATCAAAGACTATTACACACTTATGCAATTTATTCACAAAATATATATTGGCTATAATTATTTGTACATGACAAGAGTTTTAGGGGGGTAAAAAGTCTTCCTTTCTTGAGATGCATTCACTGTCCCAGACCAGTGTACTAGAATGAAATCTTTTCTAGTCTTTATTTACAACACAGTTTATTTTAACATTAACATGTGGTCAAATCAGGATTTTCGTACATACTTGTGAGGAAGAGGAGGCTTTTAGGGAACGAGGGAATTAAATTATGAGAACTTCAAGTACGTGTAGCTGTACAAGTGCACAAACCAACACCCGACAAGGCTTGACATAAAGAGCGACTAGTTGAAATTCACCACAGGGTTTTTATGATGCACAGAAAGGTTGAGCGGTACCCACTGTGTCTAATGAAGCACTCCGATGACTTTTTACTCAGAGAGACTTGCAGGTCAGATTTTGACCCTTCAAGTGCTCATTTGCCCATAGTGTCACTGGTCCTGTCCAAGGCAAGGTGCGCAACTGGCCATTTTAGATGTTTTTAAAATGTCCTTCGGTCCCCCCCCCCCTTTTCTACAAGCCCAAAACCTTTAGATGCAAATGTTTTGGGGTTGGATCATCAGGATTCATCATTAAAGTGAGCACTTGCATGTACATATACGTACAGTAGAAAATCAGACGTTCCTTTGATCATTCCTACTCCATATTTCATAAGTATAATAACATACACAAAAAACGAGAGAAATCAAACAAAAAAGGTACACTCTACGTAAATTATAGCTTCATTCCTATTCTTTGACAAAACCAAATATACATGTAAGATGGTCTACCAAAAAATCCACATTTCAAAAAGCTGTCTGGATTTATGGAATTTGTTCAGTTGAAAGTTTAACTACATGTATGTTTAAGCCAGATAATTGACAAAGGTTTGTTACATGTATTAATTTGATACTCCACTTGTATTTTACTTCTAAAAAGCCAAGTACTAGTGAACATGTGAAGAGAGAATACAATATAAAAAGTACATGCATATATTTTCCCCCAACCACAAGTTTACACTAGTAAATGTATATGTAAATGATTTATATGCAAACAACAATTATGCAGTACATGTAAATGCGTGCTTGATTGCTTGCTTTAACACAAAGTAAATTTAAACCTTTAAGTCATACCAAATTACAGTGTGTGTGTTGCTGTGTATTGGAGGTGATTTCTGAACTGCACGAAATGCTTGTATCAACAGATATGATGGAGCACCCTGTTAATATTTCACCTAACCAAAGTTTAACTTTGCACGTTATTTGATCTACTGGAATGTTGCACTGTTTCCAAGGAAACTACAAATCCGCGCCATCATCCACACACAGTGTAATAATAACGCATATAAAGACATACATGTAAAGTGCACAGTCCATCTGTACTGATGGTCCAGGCGCAATGTAAGTTTGGCTTGGGCACATGTTCTGGTCCTTGTAAAATGACCTGTTAAAAATTTATGATCACAATGAGTGCAATCAAATCAAGTCAACGGCAACGGCTAATTAAGGACCATTTTAATTCGTCTAAAACCTGTTGCGGCAAACAATAGATTTTTCCACAAAAACAGCTAAAGAAGTCACAGTAGAATTTCCGTGCCATGGCACATGTGACTCTCCAGCGTAACGTCCGATGTTTATGAAATTCTGTCAAAGGTTCACGGCCAGCAATTAGTTCATAGTTAACCATTCTGAATGTAAACATACATGTTCAATCCTTGTTCTCTTTAATATTGAGAGATGGCGATAAAGCAAGGCTGACTTGCCCAGTCTGAAACATGAAAAGTTGTTAAGCATTTCACAAAGGAATAAGGGGAACTGAAATTTCTGATCAGCTGTGTACTTTTGCCCACATTCATCAATATGCAAGACAACCAAATCATTAAGTCAACAAGCAAATCAGTGGCTTATGCTCTCTACAAATCAAGCAGTCTGTTAACTTGGGCCGTCATTATTACTGGACCAATCAGAGAACAGGACTGGTTCATGAATAGGAAATACATAGTCCTCAGTGCCAAATAACTTGACACAATCTCACAATTAATCAAACGTAGCTTTTGAGATGTTACTCCAGGACAAAAATGATAAAGTACATATTAAATAAACAGGCCTGCTTGAGACATTTTTTTCTTTCTTGTACATAACAAAGTAAGGCAGAAATCTTTACCTTGAGTGTTCCACATATAAATGCCAAAGTTTATGGACTATGGGTTGCATAAGTGAGCACAGGAATAAAAACAACGAAAAAAAGAAGACGAATATTTGAGGGTTATTCCAGGCTTGTTATTTGTAACGTACAACTAACACACAGGTGAATGGTTAAGTTGATTGTAAGAAATGTATGCAAAGTGTATGCAAATGTAGGCAAAGCGGGCCAGAGACACACGCCCCCTGCACACACACACAATGCAAAAATCCCCTCCCCAGATAAAGCTGCATGCGGCTGACCAGAAACAAAGAGTGAAACAATATGAGTCAACTGAACTGTAACGGCAGAGCATGCAAGACCGTGAGTCATCTCATGCAGAACACATATTTACAGGTGAGAACCAAAAACGAAGTGTGCAAGTTCAAAAGTTCTCAACAAACCAAACCTTCACAAACAGAAAACAGAAAGAAGCCATCATTTTTTTTATATATATATACATATACACTGAATTTTTTCTCTCTCCACCGAACTTGTTAGATCCTGTTCATATCATGATTAATGTAATGCACACATATATACATCACACCTGTCACCACTCTGAAAAATGTCAGTGAATTTTCGTAAAGACTAAGTGAAAAGGTATGACATACATTTGGGAGTTTGGGCATTGAAGGTATGTACAAAATGAAAAAGGAAGAAAAGAAAATATCAGTATATGGTCTCTTTGAGCACAACGAGAGTAAACACACCAGTCTGTTTCTTTCTACGCAAAACATCAATGCAGTTAATTATACAGTCATCTTTCCACAAATCTGTATCTATAAACGTATCAATTTTTACCAATTCGTTTCAAATAGATTTTTCAAATACACCTGTACACATGGCCTTCCCGTACAAACATGTGCACAACACCAATGTACATGTTCATTGGTTAACCTTTCTTCTCAGTCTTATGGTACCGGTACCTCAATCTCAAAACTTGATTATTCCCTCCCCCCGAAAAAAAATGAAAGAAAAGCAATACAAAACTTACAGCATGGCATCTGCAACGAAATATGGTATCGTTTCATTTTCGTGTATGTGAATTACAGTGTATTTGTGTGGCAGAAAATAAATTACCAGCCGCAATGTCACACAGTACATGTTTCTTTTGGGACGTGGTTTTCAGCAATTTTCACATATGCCAAGAACTTCCTCAGCAAATGTTTTGTGGCTTTTTTTTTTGGTAATGGGGGTTCTTAGTCTTTCTCTGATAAGTTCCCCTAATCTTCCAAAGTCAACCACCTGTCAACATAAAGCACATTCTGTTTTTCGCACAGACGTTAAGCCTTGCAATGAAGCTCAGGCCATGTAACTTTGCCCATATGGACCAAATCTATCAGAGTCAGCTGCACGTGTAAGTGCTGCCACAGGGTGGATTACAGACAGTTAGTTCTGGTACATGCGGCACAGTTCAAATATTTCAAAAAGTGCATGCCAAAAAACGAATCGACAAAAGAAAAATACAAAGCACAGGGGTGTTCTCCGTGAGATGCTCTGACAAATTTACTTCTTACAGCTTTCAGGGAAAACAGGTGCCAGCACTGTGTCCATGAAAGCCTGTCTTTCAAACAGTAACGGGTAATTTCAGAAATTAGGAGTCCATTTTTTGTTGTGTCCCTGGCACATCCCATCTGACATACAGTGTATGTATAATGCAAATTACCTACAAAAACAAATACTGTAGAAATAGTTTGAAATCAATTCTGGTGATATTTCCATGTCATATAACAAAGGTCAGATGTATTAGGGACACAAAACTGTTAGTTTTGGACCCCTAATTTCTGGAATTACCCGAATGTAATGAACAACCACAGCCGTATATGCACATGTTCAGTGCTGTAGGATTACGCAAGGAAAAGCTGACATTTATACATGTACAAGCACAAACTAGTACATCACATCTAGCCAAAGTGAAGATCTACAGAGATTTCCCCCCAATTTTTTCCTATCTTCCCCGACATGTTCCTTATTTCCTAACTTGAACTATTTCCAGAGTTACATGAACCTCATGTTTAAAAAAAATCCAGAACATATTCCATGTGCATATGCATAAACTGGCAGTTACAAAGGAAGGACATGCTACATGTAGCTAAACTGTCTAAAGAGTTTTGGGTCATTGTTTTATTTATTTTGTTTTTCAAGTCATACACTAGAGGTGAATAAGCTAAACAAATGGCAAAATATCACAGCTGAAAGGTCATTCCAAATAAAGTGGCTTCTGGTAAGGACTACAGTTCACAGGCATTTTGTTCAGCGTCAGTGCTAAGCAGCTTGGACTTGCAAGCAAGTCGAGATAGAGTAGTTTCTTCAAATTCCGACAGCGACCAAATAAACAGAGGGAGAGATGTGCAGAGGACACCACACAAGGGTAACATGCACACTTATGGACAACTGGAAAAAACACACAAATGCAGTGCAACATTACAGTCGAATGAACGTCCATTCTGGTGCCATTTTATCCAGCTACAAATATCTTCAAATTTCTTTAGAAAACCTCCTCAAGTATCAAATTATTCAGTTTTAGGGAAATATCTGGAATTTCACTGAGACAATAACCAATAGCATTGTACTGTCCTTCCCAGTTTCTGTAATGAATCAACTATCAACAAACTAATTGAAATTTGTCCTATCAGAATGGATGTGCTTTTGAAACTTTTGAATCTGTTTGGGCACAAACAGATGCCACTTAGTCCATTATTCTTACTTGTCACTCGTGTGATTGCTGATTGGGTTATCAATGGATTGATCAACTAACCATTGTCAAGTATGGAACACACCACTCATGCAAGCAAGCCCCTTATCCCCCAAAACCAACCCAAAAAGACAACCCAGTTTAACAACTGGACAAACCACTGTGGGTCTTGATTCATTCCTTCCCTCTTAGATTACCATTTGTAAAAAAAAAAGGAGAAATCCCTACATGTCAAGGAAGAGAAAGAAGCAGACAGTGAGGTCAAAAAGATACATACAGTGTACATGTACATCATTTTAAAGCGCATGCAGCAAACCTCACCAGATGGATATTATTCAATGACACCGTTAAGTCAAATATCCAACTCAACGTTACAACATAATACGGCCAAAAAAAAAACAGTCTAACACTGGATGTTGCTAGGGGTGGCTCCCCCCTGGCAGGCGTGATATGTTGAACTAGGTTAAATCACCTGTCTCTCTTTCTCTTGTGTGACTTCTTCTTCTTCTCCTTGCGCACAGGGGAGGTGCTCTCTGATCTGTTGGCAGGTAAGGGGCAAAGCGAGACTTAACAAAAGTGCTTTAAAAAAAAAAAGGGATAGGTCACTTCAAAATCAGAAACCCGGGCCCCACTGTATTAAATCTTAGACAGCCATACATCTTCACGATCCCACTGCCACATACATGCAGGTCTTTCATGTACGTTGAGTACTACAATCATGTCGCGAAGCAAACAATTTGGCTCGCATACCTCATCAACGTCTTAAATAACATATCATCTGATGAGGCAAAAATGAACCCAAACGGCAATTAACACTGCCAGCCCGACTTTGTTCAACCTGTTAGGCGATTTTATGGGCAGGCCAAATGCAATCTGCATTTTCAAAACCCCTAAACCTGTCAACTTGGCCATGTTTGTAATCCATCTTTGCACCTCGTCTCTAATGTCCATGATACCCGGTATTTAATTTAGATCCAGCATTTTTTTTTTCCATTTCAATTTTGGTTTTGCTTCAACAACTCTTACAGCACTGCTGCCATGAACTACCGTACATGTGGTGCATGCATGCTAGCCTGCAAAATGAAAAGCCTAAATTTCAAATCAAGAATCTGCTATGTGAGTGAATGGTGTTATTCAGCGACAACTGCACTCAACCCTGACCACTTCTCTGATTAATTTGCCAGGAGGTCACAAATTTCTTCATGTTCTTGTGGCCAATTTAGGGGCTCTGGGTTTTGACTACTGGAGCTGCAGCTGTTAATTTTACTAGCAAAACACAGGGTGGACTTCACAAATGCGGGAACAAGTGCATATTCTACAAACCTACATGTACATGTGTCATATACTGACATGATATGGTCACTTAATAGGCATGCAAATATTTCTCTGATGCGGAATCAAATTTACGGTTGAGTTCCTGTACATGTACATAAATGACCACAAGTCTCATTCAAACTGAGCTCTAATGCATGTGCTGGAAAATGAACTAGGGCATCTATAATGCGGTATGTTTAATGAAATCAACTTCAGCTGCAGTATGCAGGCTACTGGTTTGAAAATGGAAAGCTGGTGTAATGGCCCGCACAGTGGATGTGCAAGGTGCTGGAGTAAAATCTCCTGTGACGATGTGTATTTGGTCTTTGAAAAAATGGCACATTGCTTTTCTGCGTGATCAGCTTTCTCCTTCCAAAGGCTAAAACTTTTGCACGTAATGCTTTCAGAATTTCAGCAAAATGGTACACATCACATTTTTTGCACAGTTCAAAGGAAAAAAGAAACTCTCCACTGCCAACAGGAAAAAAATATTGTTTCTGGCCACAAGACCCAAGATGAGTGGACAGAGAGTCTTCTAGTCGTTCTATTTCATCTTTACAACTGTCAACCCCACCCCCAATTCCTGATGTCTCCTCCAACTTAGACATTTTTCATGGCCCCTTTGACATTTAAGCATGATCTCTTTAACATATGAGCAATGGGAAGAATGATTCCATTTGGAGAGAATGTTGACTTTTCATCACTTACAAAACAGCCTCCGGTAACTGACCTGATATAAGAGATATTCCCCCAACCTTAACCCTGTGAGCGACTCAACATCAGACATGCACGCAACACACTACTCGGCTTTCTTCCGTGATTTCTTTTGAAACGGATGGTGTTGTTTTACACGAGCATACGTTACCTGTCAAATTCTCCATTTTTCCGTTTTTTGCTGGCAAAGTGCAAACAAGTAACAAACCAAGAGAGTTAATTTTAAATGGTGTGCTGGGTGCTGAAGTAAAAAAAGTAACAAGAAATAACCACAGGTGCAAAAGCTACAAGTAAATATTAAAATACCACTCCAAGTTACGACGAAATCAAAATTAAGGGCCAGAGGGAGAAATCAGTCAGGAAACTGGACCACAAAGGGGAAAGAAATAACATGCACTGGTAGGTCTTCGACTCTTTCAAATGTAGCGCCCATTTGACCCAATGAACATTTCTCCCATATAAAGCAGGTCCCCTTTGTTGGGAGCACCCTGAGAGTAAAATTCTGTTTGAGAAAGGTCTTTGGGTTGTTTTATTTTTCCGTGGCTGCAGCTATTTTTAAAACAAAAAAGGGCACCGCCGCAGACATCCTTGATCAAGGTCCAACTGCAGAGCATGTACAAGTTCTGCAGTCCAGTCTCCCGCGTGAGCAATCATACAATCCCTCACTCACGGACAGCAAGCACAGGCACTTCTCGAGCGTACAATGAAAGAGGGGGAAAAAAATCAATTAATTTATCATCTCAATTTGATCACAGGTAGCTAATGGCCAGTGCCTGCTGCAGGAGGGGGGGATGGCCTTAATGACTAACGATTCTTTGCCTGTGATTAACGAGCTGTGCGCGATGATTAAGTGAACCTTAATGGGACCCCCTCAAAATGGAAGAAAAATGGGTTTTGCAGAAGGACACAAACAAAAAATAGGAGGAAAGAAATGAACAGGGAAAAAAACTGAATTGAAGAAAACTCAAGATATAGAAACCTTGCAGAGTGAAAATTCATTTACTGCATGTGTGCCAGTACATGTGCCTGCACATTCAAGACACATTCACACTCAATTTCATTGGAAAAGAAAACACAAAAAGGAGGTGGGAAATGTGAGAAAGTTTGGTCCAATTTTTCTAAAAGTTCAGCCTTTGTATTTTAGGGACTGCTGTTCATTAATTAGAGAGGTAAGAGAGGCTTCTCTGGGCTGAAAGACTCAACTTGTAAGCTTTTCTCCCCCAAGGAGATGGTGAATAATCCAGGTTTTAGGAAGAATATGGAAACGTTTCAGTGAGAGGATGTTTCTCGTTAATATTGCCAGGCCAAAGTTCCTCTTCTTTTCCCACACAAAAACACATCTGAGTTATTTAATAACTTAAGTAGTAGACAAATGCGCGGACAAGTAATGAAATTGAAGTGTCCTTGCAACAGACTCCCATTAGGGTTTGTTTGGGAGCAAGGATTTTCATGTCCTTTATTTCTTGTCATACTCCAACTTGGCAGACCTTGGAACATGAACACTAACGTGGTGCTGAAGGAGACAGTTCACTTCATCACACGCACGCATTTAAATTTTACACTTCCAAAGCAGAGCGTGCAAAGGACACCCAGACCATGACCTTGCCTGCCGAGCACAAATTACTGAACTTGAATGAGATGCTCTCGGGCTTTTCAGGTTCCCACTAGTTTCGATTCAAGGCTCAAATTTCATTTGATTCAAAACCAGTACTGTTTGGAAGATAGGGAACTGCTGGTGTGAACTCTAACTACCCAAGTTTTCAAAGAACATGTATTTGGATAAAGCCTGGACAATACAGCCCGGCCACTGATGTATTTCACAGGGGACTGGATGACCTCAATCAGAATCAAACAGCTGTTCCGTGCATATACTGCAAGAACTTGAAACCTGGGAGATTTTAAAAGGAATCTTTCCGGAGCAAAATGGAAGCGGTTTAGGGTTAACGCGGGCTAATGTGAGTTGACAGTGGCTTGAAATCTTTCACGAAATCATCTCGAGGTGTTACTGTCAGTTGTCAGGATTTCATCTGTCTGTACATGATCTGTTATAATTTTAACTGAATTTGGACTGAATTTTGATCTTCATAAGTTTAGTTGAATTTTTGGTTTGGAGTTTTGGACATTACCATGCAGTAGTTGTACATGTACCTACCGGCTGCGATGACGGCCAGACCGTTTCTTCTTGTGCTTGGTGGGCGGTGGAGACTCACTTGGCTCACGCAAAATTCTATGGTGAGAAAAAACAGAGTTGAAACACCATTAACCACTTCACGCCGGGCCCATTTATTCATGTTTATTCTGCTGGGACGAGTGATTTTTCACTTTTTTTCTGTTTTCGAAATTCTTTAAAACTCATATCTTTTTTTCCCCGAGAGCCTAAACCCCATCGAGTGACCGTCTGGTGGCTACTTTAATCTGACAGACAACATCTATTGCTTTGTAAAAGAGCCCAGATTGTGCAGAGTAATGTAAGTTTTTTGTTGTTCCCAAAATTGGCACAGTGCGCTGCTGGGTCTTTTCAATAGGGGCCACATTAGCATGCAGCGGTATTGTATCACTCATCACCGGAGCGCTGGAGTGCTTTTATCCCTAGTGGTAATCCGCTTGTGCTGAATGCCACAAACAGTGGTATAATCTTTCAAAACAATGATGGATTTCCTCCACTATTGACAACTGAAAAATTGTTGGCAATTCCCAGCAGCTCGGTCTTTTGTTTCAAGTACGGTCTTTTGTGACAAGGCCCAGCTCTTTTGTCCGATTTCGGGCAGCCCGGCATTGCATATAAAGAAAACGTACCCGAAGCCGGGCTCCCCGGCGCAAAGTGGTTTAGGAAGCTAGTGATATGAATTGCTCAAAAGGTCTCCAGTTTAGTATCGCCGTCTTGGGCTCTGATCATGGGCAAGAATATCAGTTTCTTCTCAGCACGGAAGTCTTTGCAAGGACTCCGCTTGAGTCGTCTAGAATTTTCAGCTAATGTGCAGGAATCCAGTGTGATATCGGTCATACTTAAAAACTCCCAAGAAGCATGAAGACCTACTGTAACTGGGCACTATCTTCCTCAATCCTTGAATTTTTTGACAAGGGAAAATATGAATTAAACTATGAACAGAAAATACTCCTAGAAACGTGGTTTCCAGATTTCATAACTGCACTCAGTCAATATCTGTTTGGACAAGGCCGACGCCTGACTGCAAGTACTGCAGGGGAGAAAAGTAACGACTGCGAATTGGATTAATTCAATTTCAAGTCCCAGTTGCCCGGGCAACTAATAGGCTGGTTTCAAGAGCCTACAGTGCCTGCTTGCTCCGAGCTTTTTCTACTCGCGTGATTGTTTTCAAAAGCTGGAGGAACAAGTCTCTGATTGGAAAGCTCTTAGGGAACAAGTACCTGAGAAAATTAGTCTGCGTTACACATGCTTTTCATATTTTTTTCTTTGTGTGTGTGTGTGCTTCTTTCACTTTGCAAAAAAGAGCTTTTCAAACGCATGCATACATGTAGCTGTATTGATACGATATGTACACATGTGTACTGTGTAATTGTACAGTACCTTTGCACATGCAACCTGCTGTACTGTGTCACATTTGTACTAGTCAAATGAACACGTAATGGCTACATTTCAAAATCGGCAGGTTTTCACTTCATCCCAAATGAACATGCATGAGTACAGTACCAAGGGCTGAATAATATTCCTTATTAGGCCCGCCCCCCCAACAATGTAGCATGCCTCCCGTTTACCAACATACCCTATTTTGAAGGCATGACACCAAAGTTTTTTGGGGGGGAGGCAATTTCAGAAAATGGAAAATTGGAAATAAAGAAAAAATGTGTCTATTTTTATATGAATGCTGTTTTCGCACACCAAGCTCTACAAGTACCCAAATACCTTGTGTTGTTCATGTTAATATAACATTTTAAACAAATGCCACAGACCTCTCTTACCGTTGTTACTTTTAACTAGTTAACACTTACTTACACTTTAATACATTGTACCTGCCTACTATGATGTACATGTACATGTTCCCTACAATACCTGTATTTTCAGTTGCCATGTAATGGTCAAGCAGAACTATACGGGAGCTTAATGTCTTGGTATGTGCATAGATTTGTAAGCAACTTATTTTTCATACTGGTACATGTACATGTATGCATACATGTACATGTTCAAGTACCCTACATGTACATGTGCTTATTCTTGATGGATTTATATTGGTATGTGTATGCATGATAGGTTAGTCACATTTTTTTTTGCTGTCAGATTCATGAAATTCACATTGTGTACACACGAAAAACCAGGCAGGTATACTCAACAGTACGGTGAGATTGATGGAGCACTTAATCTTCCCCGACCAAACCAGCTTTGATTTTGTCCTGATTGAAAAAAACAAGTCCATGCAGAATTGAGTGCGGCGAGGAGCTCATACCTCACAGCTGAAGGATTAGGCCAGGATGGCAACGAGCTTGTCAGCGTGGCATCGTGGGTCCAGGGTCTGGCACGCACAGGTACAGTACGATAACTGATGACACCCATGGATCATCAGCAGTGGATAGCATGACCTGCTTGCACTTTCATGTTTTCCATGTGCAGCTACCAGTACACGTACACTGCTCTAATATATGGAACCACTCAACATCATACATGAACACATACGCTATACATCGGGGTTCCTACACCTAAAGGACAATTCAATTCCATGACTTTTCAATGACTTTTCCATGACCAAATTATGAAAATCTATGACCCAATAATGCAATTTCTTGGACTATTCAGACTTTTAAAGTTGCGAATAAAATCACGCATTTTATACACTTATTCCTGATAATAAAAATCACACACAGAGACAGAAAAATTCTGTGACTTTTCAATGACTTTAGTAATTTTTATAAAATTCCATGACTTTTCCAGGCCTGGAAAACAGCAACAAATTTCCATGACTTTCAGTACTTCGGCTGGCCAAGCAAGAGGGACCATTTCTTTTGTCGGGAAATTCAGGACCGCGTTCCAGGGACACAGATTTGTCCCTAAAGCAAAGTTCTCCCCAAAATAGCCATCATTCAAAACGTGTGTAGTCCCCACAACATAAATGTACATGTACTGGTGTTAGCACCAGACCAGTATGCAAATTCTACATGTACAATTAATACTGCAGCGGGCTGGTAAAATGTACTCTTTGACTTACCCGGTGGGCTAGTAATGAATACCTCCATGTTTGAATAAAGAATAGAGATGAATCCAAAAAAAAGATTTGAAATTGATGAATATGTATGTGTTGTTTATTATTAATTGTAAGAGTAATTGTAATTGTAAGAGATTAATTGAATCCTCCACTTTTTTAAGTTTTAAAATTGACAGCAAGTCTGCACAGTAACAGTTGGCATGACGAAGAATGCCAACGTTGAAAAATGCCAGTCAAAGTTAGTTTTGCTAGAAATAGTCAAGTGGGCAAGTGAAAATTCCTGCAGGGAAGTACAGGTACATGTAAAATGAGAGATTAAAACGGACACCCAGTGGGTCAGCGTATGTGTTTCAATTTACCAGAGGTCAAAACACAAAGGAACCAAAAGAAGTCTCGATGTCCTCGGTGGTAGGTGTCTTGTCCTCAGAGGTACATGTACTGGTACATGTAAGTGCCCATGGTTAGTCTGTAGGAGAGTGTCATATTGTACGAATGCATTGACCATTCCTTTCTCCAGTAGACACAGAGCCCTCTCCTTGGTACATGTATAGACATTGTATATGTAATACAGTAATACACAACAATACCCAGTATCACCTCCACATGACGTCACTGCAATGTACATGTAGCGAAGCGCTCTCTTTCGTTCACGCGCGGAAGACTACATACATGAGTGATTTGCATTCCACTCTCATCACAAGGGAATGCCATACCCTTCTGATGATGAATATTTTCAATTACATCTTTGTCATGGCAATCGGCTTTCGTCGAAGACGGCCTGTGGATCCCACAAATCAAGTGCCGCATGCCTTACAAGTCAATACTGAGAAGCCAGCATGTAAAAACAGCAGGTGGGCTCCCAAAGATGTGTATCGCAAACACCGTCGCCCCTGGGGATTCCCTGTGTAATCAAGTCGGGCAGGATGGTACATCAAAGTCACAAGGTCAATTGGATAATCTCTGACGTGCACAAAGGTGCGCAATTAAGCCAATGCCTCCGACCACTTTAACTTTTGTCGTTTTTTTTTGTTCTTCTTCTTAAAGCCCAGGGATGATTGAGGATTAGATCGTTTGCCAGGCTTTCAAGGACAGTCATTTGTCACCTCGTGCCAAAACAATCTAGGCACTTTTTTCCCTCAAACAGAGAATGATTTATTATGACCTTCAGACTGCTGTAAAATAAATGAGCTGTCCACATGAATATGCATGTTGTGTACATGCATATTCATGTGATGCACAAGTATGCATGGAATTTTTGGAACTTATCTATTTTCCAAAGTTTGAATTTACAAATACATGTACACACTGTAACTGTTATCGATAATGAAGGATGTACTGTCAAAGATAAAGCTTTGGTCATCCCTCTTCACTGCCAAGAACATTCTCGACGGAGCTTCTTTTTCTTTAAAGTCACATTCTCGTTTTCACTCAGAACAACACAACGCAAAGCACACCCAAATTACATGTACATCACATTTGATGTACATGTATTACACATCATCTTACTGTTATAAAGTTGGGCACAAAACAAATCCAGCAAGCAAATCCAGGCATTTACCTAAGAGGACGCAATTGAACTAAGGCCCGGCCATTGAAGACAGGTAAAACCTTTTGGTTCCTTTGCACATGTATACACATGTACTAGAAGCTGTACATGTACATGTATGTACACATATACATGTATATGGGTAATTCCAGAAATTAGGGGTCCATTTTTTTTTTGGTGTCCCTGTCACATCTGACATATGATTTTGTAAGTTCAGAACACATTTTCTAATTTCCAAAAGTGATGAATGCCAAACAAATACTGTAGTAATAGTTTGAAATCAATTCCAGTGATATTTGTCAAATAGCCAAAGTTATGTGTAACAGAGACACATAAATGTCAAACCTTTGCACCCCTAATTTCTGGAAGTACCCATGAACACAGATTTTTATGTACAGTACATTTACAATGAACCATCCCTTAAAAAGTGCATTTTGCCATTGTGGATCAAGAAGATACATGTCAGGTACACGTACATGTATGAATGTACCGGTACGGTACATGGACCAGTCCATACAGGTATGCTACAGTTCACGTGTATTCCAGTACATACAGTACACAGACGTGTAATTTACATGAACACGTCAATTTAAACTTCATATCTTCCTAATCCAGACTGAATCACTGTAAAAAACAATTTCCCATCTTACCATGCAAAATGTACAAAAAGAGGGGCTTGTGTTTTATGACCGTCTACACAGGGACGTCAATGGATGTGCCAAGCTGACAAATACATACTCCTGTTGAGACTGAAGATTGAAAATCACACTAACCAAACAAGCAAGGGACGCGGGCTCGTGTTATGACAGTCAAGTCAATGACTATCGCTATCGTCAGTCAGTACGGGCTCAGCCCCGGCCGCTTGCCCAATTAGGTTTAGCGGGGGGACAGCCTCGGGGGGAATTGCAACCACTTGTCTTTGCCTCGCGCACAGTTAGAGCGTCCGTGTCTGGCTTTTTGCCTCGGCAACGTTCACGTCTGTTGGTCGCGGCAGTTTCATAGGATTAGCCGGCCGCTATGAAACTTGTTCAATTTGGGAGGAGGGAGGGAGTTAGCATGGGTTTATGATTAAAATCTTCAGGAGCTTTAACCCCAAAGAGTACTGATCAATTATTCTAAGGGGCATGGTTAACTGGGAGGAAATTTTGTTTCCTGGTGAAGCCTACGTATATGTAGTTTCCATATCAACATACATGTATCTATGCAGACAACGTTGCCGAATACCACCTGATGTTGCGCAGTCACACATCAAAATGTTTCATCGTGACTGCCACAGATGTGCATGTACCTGGTCAACACAGTTGGATCAGTTTGGTTTGTCAACAGTTTGCGTGGAGTTGTCAGAGTATACGATCCACATATACACACACGCATGCTGGCATATTTAACACTTACTTTTACTTGGGTATTGCGTATTGCCACCATTTCCATGAGGTGTATACAGGTTTTTGGTCACCAGAGAAGTTTCTCTATTTTCATACGGTAAACATACTAATTTGTGACAACTGTATGCAGTAAAACTTTCAAATGATTCTTTGAGAGGTAAACCTTTGCATGAACAACACAGTGGGTTATTACATGTTGCTCAAATCAATTAGTAAGGACGCACATCCTTTCATGAAAGTGAAAATCCATGTTTTACTATGGGTCCATTGACATCCTCCTGCTCAACGTACATGCTTTCCATAGGGATGGGGCACGCATGTTTACACACGTACAGCTGTGAACATACATGTAATGTAACAAAGATGTGTATGTGAAAATGAAGATTTCAGCCTTTCCGGGCAATACCAATAAGTTTTGTTCATGTATGAACGGCAGTCAGGTTTGTGTCACTTCATGACAATGCAACATGCATGCACAGTTCAATATTCAGATTTCTGCCCATGGCAACATAAATGTAATTTTGACAAATGATGTTTGCTTGTGGAGCATGTCAAAACGGCCAAGTACGATCTTTCGAAACAAAAAAGGGAAACCAATCAAAAACACTAGTCCAACTTTAAAGTGGGGACGGCATTCCTTCAGTCCAATCCTATCTCTCTTCCGCAGACAACTTGACATTTTCAATAAATTTACAGGATCAGGCTAACACGATCCAAACGCTTGCCTCCACATTCTTCTAATAAATTTGTCAACCAAATGAAAGCAATCAAGCTCTATGGGCTGGACGGCTGGGACAGCTGCGTAAGTTTTTACCGGGCCATTTGCCCACACTCAAGAGGGAGCAATAATGGCTCATTAAGGGGCCTAATCAGGAAAGGAAATAATGAATCAATTTTGTTAGGAGTGCTGAAAGCCAATAACCACAGTGTAAATTTATTGCAACAGTTAGGCAATGCACTGGCAGGGGCCACAGTGATAGAAAAGAAGTGCACTCATACATTATTCAATTCATTTCCCAGTGTTACTGTACTCTTCCATAATGAAGACCCTAGGTACATGTACGCACCCATACATGTACATGTATGTATGTGCCTCTCATGTACATGTACATCACTTGCCACCCCAAAATCTTCCACAAGTTGCTTGTGGATTCTTACACAGAGTACATGCAGGATGTATGACAATTAAAGATGGAGAAGTTTACATCTCGTTTTTTTTTTTTTGGAGAGGGTTAGCTACTTATTAAGGGATCAACTATCTTTTTAATGGAAAGAAATGGGATATTTTTAAGGGAGAGAAGGGAAATGCTGTCTCAATTGACATGATTAAAACCTTCCTATCCAAAGACACATTCTTGACACAGTTGTCCTATCAGTCAAAACAAGTCCATATTTCCCATATGTGTCTGTGTACTGGGGGAAATCATGTGGAAGGAATTTTTGACTGTTTTTGACACAACAAAAGGAGGGTTAAGCTGCTGCCCAATTAACTCATGCAACAACAATCACATTTTCACAGGTGTCATGTACATGTGAATGTTGCATAATGAATAGTACGGTGGTGTACGTGCATGTATGAGTACAAAATTTTCTGAGAAAAATACTACAGTATGCACAAATGTTAACAACCAACGTACATGTACATGTTGACTAAAGATCAGCCAACACTTGAAGCTCTCCCCAGGGCACCAAGGCACTTCTCCTGAAATGCAAGACCTGTCTCAGACTACAATTTCTTGCCACATGCAACATCCAACTTCCCCTGCACGTGCCACTCTGCGACACATCAGGGGGTGCCAAAACACGCAGGACAAAGAAAAACATCGGTGCAGTGCTTTGGAGTTCAAATTGCGACTCGACGCCAAGATCCCTGGGATTCTCAGGTATCTACCTGAATGTATGCATTTTCAGCACGTGATCGGGATTTAATAGCATCAACAGTTGAATGTCGGGGAGCATAGTACATGTACAATGTATGAGAAGCAGCTTGTGAGCTGAGAGCTGGATGAGAACACATGCACACCTTACAGGAATCGAGCGAGTGTCTGAGTATGTTAATCTTGGGGTAGCCTGATACGCACATGAATGTACGTGTATGTGCGGTACAGCCAACTTCTACCGCAAGTCTCCCTTGGGATCAATGCTTGTGTTTAAAGAGGAGGACATTTCCGATCCCGACCAGAGGACAAAACTTTTGAGTTCTGACACCTCTCTGACAAGATGTGATTCAAAATAACAAGAGGCAAGGCAACCACTGCACAAGTACTGTACTGGTGACGTGCTTCTCCACAAACCTACGTCTGACATAACCCAATCACATGTACTTAAGTTCAAGCAGCAGCATTCACATAAACGTCCCTTTTACTAGTCTTTAGGTATCAAGATTCCTGTCATACGCATGTGCGCACAGTGTACACGTGTGCTGTATGTTTGATGCAGGCTAACGTGTACCGGTGCTGAACATGTCCCAGCTGGCATGAAGTTGGGGAATTTTATCCTGAATAACCTTGGCTAATAAAAATGTAAATTGCCTTATAAATCGTGCCTGTATCATATGCACTTGCATCGGGGGGGGGGGGAATATTGTTCTAAGTCTTCGCAGGCAATTGCTATAAAACAAAAAAAACATTTGATATTACTCTGGAAATGACCCACAGGAATGAATCGCTTATAATCTGCAGAGCAATTTGATGTACGGACGCCTGTATCTTGCATGACGTTGCTGGACTGTTAGTGATACCATCCTCTTGCCAACATGACAGCAGTGCCATGCCGAGACAGATGACAATCCCCGCCGCGGCAATGCTTTGATGTGTGTCTCCGTGTCCAATTACACGGGGGGATTGCCCGCGACAGGAACTCTGCATCATCTATATGGTAACTCAGCTACCTATTCACTTCCCTCTTCGAAACGCCCGGGGACAAATTCAGGACAAAAGCCTGGCCAAAGATCAGCTTAAAAGTTCTCACCGGCCGGGACACGGATTGCTTGTGTTTTTTTTTCAAGGGTTACTTACTCGTATTTCTTGGCCTGCATGGCGCGAGCTTCCGCCTCCCTGGCCTTCCGCTCCGAGTCAAAGGAGCTGCCGTCCACGTAGCTGTCTCCGATTCCAAATGCCTCCCTCAGCTTGGCATTCTGTTTCTCCTTAGCCTGGGCAAACTGGTGCGTCTCAGTCAGCCTGCAGTCATTGGGGAAAAAAAAGGGAAGCAGTTGAAGACAATGGTCTAAAAAGTCACAAGGTCTTTGAGCTTTATCTGCTCCCTGAGTAGAGTCTTCATGCTGGGATGAAGGTGCGAGTTAACCTTGTGAAACAATACATGAGGCAAGCTGCTAAAAGCTTGCACGTGTAACCTGTTTGAGAAGAACTGCCAAGTCTGCAGCTGTTCCTTCCTGAAAAGTGGGCTGAAGATGGAGGATGCCTAAATGTATTTACCTGAAACACCAGAATACATTGATTTTCCAAAATAACTCCACCTTGGGTGTAAAATTTTCTCTTCTTTCTATTCTCTTCTGTGCTAGACATACATACATGTACACATACACAGGGTTTTATAATTAGACCATGCATCATTGCATCAAACCGGTAAAATGTACATGTTGGAGTAGTATTCATATTACGGCGTCCACCATTGACCATCCGTATGAGGTATCCCATAATGACAAGTTGCGCACTTTTTCTGTCTTTTAACGCTGCGGCCTAGAGAGCATGAGCAGCTTTGATAGATCACACAATGTCCGTTATGAGCCAGTGTACACGTGTTGTACCGGTACATGTACATACCAGTTCATGAATGAGTTGAGTTGATGGCAAATACACGTATGATGAAGTGCAATGAAAAAAGTAATTGGTGATGTCATGAAATTTGGTTGGCTGTTGTACATGTACAGATCAACCCATTTATTGCATGCCTATCTGTGTAACAACGGCACATGTAAAAATTAATACACCTGTAGTATAGCCCTCCATCACCAATATCAGACTACTCCATTATACAATCTTCATGTGTACACAGTAACCGAGCTCTGATGGATAGTCTTCCAGCCAAGTCACAAACATACAACCCATCTGGGAAAAATACACCACATTTCATCTGAAGTCAATATCCGCTGGCTTTCTAGCAGCTCATCTCCAAGGATTCATGTTGACAAATCAGAGACCTAAACAGGCATGCATTACTTAGCAAATACATGCATGCAAGAATCAAACCTGACAACCCCTGAGATATTCTGACGGCATTATGTTAACTGTAGATTATATTAACTGGCAGCAGCGAGTGAATGACCTACTCTCAAAATCAGCACACTTCAGAAAAAAAAAGTCTCTTAGGTATTCATCACGATGCTCTCTCTTACGGGCTCAAATCCCTTTTAGCATCTGAAAGTGGATGTCTTACAATACTTCTAGAAACACTTCTACGATGGGTACTTGTACGTGTACACACAGAGATAAGTTGAATATCCGGCAAAGCGTGGGATGAAGCACTTGCCGAAAGAAAATGCAACATCTGAGAAGAGAGATCAGTCGAAATACAGTGCACTATCCGCACTGGCATTGCACATGACACCAACGTGCACGACACCTCAGAGCCCTTCTGTACATGTACATGTCGCTGGAACAAACTGTTTCTCATGCCTTTTCCTCCTCCCCCCACACAAACTGGGGAGAAACTCACAGCTCTGAAGAGGAAAACTGAAGAAAGAACGTCACATCGATTCGTCTCATGGACCAAGTTCAGACAGCTGCTGCAGGCAAGGTCGCTGAGTGGCTTGCGTAAACCCCTGCCATTGAGCAGTGAGCAACCGATCCAATAAAGGGTCAATTATGGGGGCTAATTGGCCCAAAATACACGGCCTCGGGGAAGATTATTGCCGTCTAAGTACTCTTAGCCTTCAAAATTTGTACAGTGAAGATTGATTTTGTTCTTCTATACATGTACATACGGTACTGGGAGTATTCAGCAAACTGTCAAATGAACATTGATTTTTTTTTCATGGTATGGTGGACATGTACATGTATACAAATTGTTTTTCACTCAAGTGCTACAGTAGCAGAAAAATATCCTTACATGTGACTACCGGTACTTGCACATGTTCATGTACTTCCTTCATAATACATGTACATTGTACCAGTACGTCTACTTGTATCAAAAACTTTACCTGAGCTAAAGCACAGCACAATTACAAAAGAATTTGTGCTCCGGCAATATTTGTGGACTGGTACCGGTACAATGTACACGTACCTGTATGTAGAGTACCGGTACATGTGCATGTACTGTGTGTTACCATACACATGTACATGGTACCAGTTCTCAGTTCACATGACCACATCCCACAAAGTGTACCATCCCACAACAAAATGTCCATGGTCATGACGGTGCTGTCATGTCACTTCCATTGTACCTGAAACTGTTGCGACAGCCTATCAAACAATAAATATGCCTCATAATTCGTGAAACAAACGGCATGTGACATTCAATCGAACAATTGCCCGTGCACACATTTCTACTGAACGGATCATTTTACTGTTTTCCCTTACAATATACCGGTACATTACAGGTTTCTTGGCACTGATGGGGCAATTTCAAGCTCAGCACTTCTGCAAGTGTGTAGTTACGCTTTGTGGTTTCAAGTATCACAAAATAAACCACACGACAGTATACACAAACCTGTATAAAGCAGAAAAATGAAAACTATTTTTCAACCATAAAGTAATGAAAATTGTCTGTAAAAGTTACCAATGTACTGCAGTGGATTGCTCATTCTGTAAACAAGAGCAGATGTACATGTACACTGTGCCCACAGGTGTTGCTCATCATCTCAAAAAGAAAACACCGCCGCACGCCTACCGCTACCGAAGCACAACTCTGGCCAACCAGAGATGGCCACCCACTACTCATCGTATGTACATGAAAAACTTCCACCTTTTCGACCGTGCCGTTAATTGGATTGCAGAGCTCAGGCCGGGACCACGAAACGCTAGTCGTTCTTAATACCGGCAACACGCCCGACTTAAGTGCATGTTAACATGTGTGCTGGCCGGCTTAGGGATTCGCTGCAGATTTCGGGCACTAACTCACGGGGGGGGGAGGGAACAGTGCAAAGAGGATGAGGCCGGATACATGACTGTAAGCCAATGATCATTTCAGCGGCAGACTGAAGAGTACCTGCTGACAGCAAAGACTTCTTAGGTCAGGTTATGAACGGAGCTCTTGAGTCATATAATCAGCCAAAGCTTCTCTCCTTCTCTTGAACTGTTAGTTAACAAGTACAAACTCAACACAGGGCACAGTTCTGAAGGCACGATACTGCACAAGAAGATCCTCATGGCAGGTGAATACTGCAAGCTCCCCCCCGAAGTGTCACCGTTTGCGGATTTAAGTTTCATTACCAAAATTGTCCGGGCACAGATCCCTGGTGAGAAGTGATGCTCAATGGATATTGCACAAGCACATCAATCTTTAATCGCAAAATGGACTTCACAAGTATGTGCATACTTCAGGGCCCAATCACTCGGCAGAGTAAAGGCTACCGTACATTCCTGGGGAGAAAAAAGGAGCAGGGCTGTCTTACTTAAAGTGGTATTCACACGCACATGTGCGTGTATTTATATCTAGTAAGCCAGCACTGAGAAATTAACCACTGATTTTGAAATTTGGCATGCCTGATTTTCACGCTTTGGTGCACATCGCTGGCTTGTGTGTACCAGAGCTGACTGGCACAAATTCACAGGTCAAGTATGGTTCCTACATGTAGACCAAAAGATCCTCACTGTTTTGAGGTACTTTTACATATTACCATACATGTAGGTCTGGTAGATGCCATGGGTCACCTGACTAAAACAGAAGGAACAGCTGTTACTGAAAATTTCTCATTTTGAAAACCTACATGTATTTCATTGAGTTTTGGGTACTGTCATCAACAACTACAGAAAACAGACATGTACGTGTACATGTAGGCCTATAAATTGCTTCCCTATGCAAACTTCCCTACATGCATCACAATGTGAAACAGTTCATTTTTTTTTTAGTACGGCATTTTCTTTGCACAATGATGTCCACTTATGGCCCTTAGTACAATGCATCCAAACCTAGAAAGGACATCCTACATGTACTCTTACCATGTAGACATGACGTTATATGTTACTGTACGTGTAACAGGAGGTGACATGTACATGTACCTGCTGTACATACCTGTACATGTAATCTAATATTGATATGGCAGGGAATCAGCTGTAACAAATCTAGGTCAGTATCATCACGATACATGTAATACTGCCCTGCACCTTGAGGAGAATGTGCAACCTGCTGCCTTCCATTAGGGCCAACTGCTTTTGGTTTCAATGCGGCTGACGGAGGAACGTTCTGAAACCTAGCAACAAGAGCAAATCAAGAGCACTTCACATTTCACTTTCCCACGTCCCAAACAATTTTTAAACTCTCCCCCCCCCCCGTGGTTGTTCTTTCTTTAACAATGGATATTTCTCATCTTCTTGGGCAGGCGTTGTTTCTTTAATAATGGTTATTCCTCATCCTCTGCTCATGCTGGCAGGCTCCTAATCCTGCCCACAAACTGACAACGGGCTGGCATGCCGAGGACCTTATGGAACGACGAAAGATGAAACACAGGCAACGCGAAGGAACAACCGCTAGGGGAAGGGGGGGCTAAAAGGCAGGTGGTATTAGCATCATTTAATCAAGTCAGAGAGACGGCGGAGCACTAACCAGCACCAGGGGGCCTCCCTGGTGTGCTAACAGCTCTACTCTACCTTGGTATTGTATTAAAGTCTGACTGCATGCCAACTTTATAGGTACTGCAGATGGATGCTGGCATATCACTTTCAACAGTCTCCTTTTGTACTGTTAAGAGTGCATTGAGCGCATGGTGGAATATTCTTCGTCTTCCTGTTGTGCTCACAGATTATGTACCCCAATAAGTTTGAGATGTACATGTATTTGTAGATCTCCAAAACAAACAACATACACGCACTATGTATGTGCACTATACATGTAGAGTGTACATGTGCACGTGTTGTTTGTACTGCAGAGCGTACTTTTATCTTCAGATTCTGTGTATCACCATGGTATCACCCTAAAAAGCATTCAAGCTCAGAAGCACAAATGTTAATGTAAGTTTCTTGCTTTTTAACTCAGAAACACCCATTTTCTCTGTTCATTCATT